AGGGGGTAAAAATTTGGGTAGGGAATTATGTGATTGGATAGGGAATTATGTGATTGGAGTTTTTTTTTTTACTTAACTTTTTTTTTTTCATCACACAGGAGACAAAAAGTCCCCTTTGTGAATATTTTTGGTTACCGGTTCTCTTAAATGAGACATTCAGGTTCTGCCCTACCACTACACACTGCTTACTGACTGCCCTGCCACTACATACTGCCCTAACCTTCCACTGTATATTGCTCACTGACTACATACTGCCTTAGCCTGCCTCTACATACTGCTCGTTGACTGCCCTGCTGTGACATACCATACACATGCTCTGTACTGGCATTTCTTACTTCCCTGCACTGCAATTTTTTTTGTTTACTTTTGTATTTCTTTAGCCCCACAACTACAGCTCTATACATTATATACTTAATTTAAAGTATGGCATTAGGTTAACAATACGCCTATTGTAAAACCTTGCCATTTTAAATGAGTTACCCACCCTTAATTGAAGTACATTCTCCACCTACAATGGCTTGATGGACACATAATGAAAAAAAGGTGTCTGTAATTTTTTTTTTTAAGATTGTCAACTACTAATGATTTTATTTTTATACTAGTAATGGCGGCGATCAGCGACTTATAGCGGGACTGCGGCGGGCAATCTGAGGGCGAACTGACTGTCACTGACATCCCCAGTGACACCAATACAGTGATCAGTGCTAATAAAAAGCACTGACACTGTACTAATGACACTGGGCAGAAAGGGGTTAACATCTGGGGTGCTCAAAGGGTTAACTGTGTGCTGTTATACAGTGTGCTATGCGGACCCATACAAAGCAGTGTGCAGCAGCTGACAGGAAAGATCTGTATTGTTTACATACCGTTCTCTCCCCCGTCTGTGATACACAGTGATCGCTGGGTGCCGGCAGAGAATCACCGGCCAGGGACCCAATGATCAACATGTGTGTTTGCGTTTAGAAGCGTTTTTTAAAGATAAGCACAGGAGAACCTTCCAGATGCCCAGAATGGTCTGAAAAGTGGTAAATTATTAACTATTTCAGAGAAATACAGAGAGTAGAAGCAGAGACAGCAGTATGTGTTGAAATTAGCTTAGGTGAGAGTTGCTCGTTAACATTTCTTTTGTTTCCAAGGGTGGGATAGGTGTCTGGTGGAGTTAGTCATTAAGGTCAACTGGCAGGAGGTCTTCATGAGGAATTTGAGGTGTGAATGGTCATTAACATATCTTTTGTTTCCAAGGGTGGGAGAGGTTTGAGGTGTGAATTGGTTCTTACAATGTGTGAAAAGCTTGGTAGGAACATCCTGTGTTCAGTGTTTTGTCCATCTGAGTACCTTGAAAACACTTTGCATGCTATTTTCATGATGGAGAAAGGCTCTGGACAGCATTGGGAACTGGAAGAGTTAAAAAAAAAATTTCAGACGCAAACGCTTATAAACGCAGTTTGCCGCGTTTACAAGCGTTTTGCGTTTGAAACGCTGATAAAATCGACTGCTGAACGCAAGTTTGGTGCTTTCAAGAAATTGACTGTAAACTCAAATGCCTGTAAGCGACTGTAAACGAAGATGTGTACATGGACACATAGGAAAACATTGGGGTGAGTTCAAGGGCTGCTGAAAAAAAATGCTAAACAGCTCCTAAACGTGAGTTTATCAGTTGCAGTGTACATGAGCCCTTAAAGCGATTATAAACCTTCCCTTTTTTTTTCATTAAAATAACAAACGTTTTATACTTTGTTACTTGTTATACAATGGTTTTCCACAGAGCAGTCCAGATCCCCCTCTTCTTGGGTCCCCTTCCGGTTCCTATCCCCACCGAATGCCCACCATAGGAGGACAGTCATGCAGAGGTATCCCTAGGGTTGGTGTCACCCCTCCAGAGAGGAAGGAGCGGTGCCAGTGTAGCGGTAAAATGAGTATCCCAACCCGTGAAGATATGTATCCCTTGAAGCAACTGTGCTTGTGCCGGTTTCAGGCCGAAGAAGCCGATCTTCGACTTTAGCACAGAGCTGCCACAGTTATCCCCTTAGGGAAGTAAAAAAAAATGTTTTCTTTTTTTTTTTAAAAATGTAAGTTACACCGAAGCATATAACTCCCCTCCAGATTCAAGCCCCCCCCACCACATATGTATGCACGCACGCACAAACAAAAAAGCACGTGCTGGGATGCCGACACATGAAAACGACGATTGCGATACACATGTTACATATCGCCGCGCACGCTAGAATGAGAGTAATAATTCTAGCACCTGACCCCCTCCGTAACGCTAAATTGATGACCTATAATGGCTTTAAAAGCATCACCTAGTCCTTTAGAAAATATAGGGTACTAAAATTTGTTGCCATTTCACGAGCATGCACAAATTTAAGGTTTGACATGTTGGATATATATTTACTCGATGCAACCTCATCTTTTATATTTTACAAAAAAATTGGATAATGTATTTCTTTTTGTGCCCTAAAATGAACTGTTACTGTTAAGTGTATTTTTTACTAAAACCTTTGTGATAATATCGTGTGACATAAAAAATTGGAACTACCGCTATTTTATTCTCTAGGGTCTCTGATTTCAGAAAATATATCATGTTTTGGAGTTTTGTGTAATCTTCAGGCCTTAAATGATTTTTTTAAATGCTTGCAAAAAACGGCTCTGGCAGCAAAAGGGATAAAGGATAAGCCTGACGCTCCCCTTTCCTGACGAGCAGCTAATCGGTGCTCATTACACTGCAAGGTCTCTCTCCTCCCTGCTAGTCCCCGGGTGCGGTGCTGGAGACAGGCAGGGAGGGGAGGTGGAGATAAGCAGCGCAAAGTTAAAAACATTAAACGTTTAAGTCGCCATAAAGTCCCTTGCGTTTTTAAAATCCCCAGACATTCCATAAAGCACCTCTGATTTAAATACGGTTTTGGTTAAAATATATATATTTTTTTATCAGGACAAGTAGATTGTCATGAGGGACAAGTAGATTGTGACACCAGTTTAGTTCCTTGACAAGTACCGTATTTTTCGCTCCATAAGACGCACTTTTTCCCCCCAAAAAAGGGGGGAAAATGTCAGTGCGTCTTATGGAGCGAATATGGAGCGGCCGGTCCGGTATTTCTGCCGCCACCATGTCAGAATACCGGGCCGGCCACTCAGCTCTTCTCTCCTGCAGGACCTTACCTTTTCCTCTGTCCAGCGCTGTACAGTCTTCCCGCGCCGGCTTCTGTGACAGCTGTGTGCCCACTGCGCATGCACGAGAAGCGCTGGGCTTTGTGAATGGTCCAGCGACTTCTTGGACACATGACAGGTCCCAGAAGGCGCCGGGCCATTCACAAAGCGCAGCGCTTCTCGCGCATGTGCAGTGGGCACCCGGCTGTCACAGAAGCCGGCGCGGGAAGAAGCCAGCGTGCCCACACTAAAGAGAGGACAACTTCAGGTACCCGCTGCCCCTCCCTCCCCAAAGGTCCGCAGTCTCTGGTCATCCCCTGTACTGTGTCCGCAGTCTCTGGTCATCCCCTGTACTGTCTGCAGTCTCTGGTCATCCCCTGTACTGTCTGCAGTCTCGGTCATCCCCTGTACTGTCTGCAGTCTCTGGTCATCCCCTGTACTGTCTGCAGTCTCTGGTCATCCCCTGTACTGTCTGCAGTCTCTGGTCATCCCCTGTACTGTCTGCAGTCTCTGGTCATCCCCTGTACTGTCTGCAGTCTCTGGTCATCCCCTGTACTGTCTGCAGTCTCTGGTCATCCCCTGTACTGTCTGCAGTCTCTGGTCATCTCCTGTACTATGTCCGCAGTCTCTGGTCATCTCCTGTACTATGTCCGCAGTCTCTGGTCATCTCCTGTACTATGTCCGCAGTCTCTGGCCATCCCCTGTACTGTGTCTGCAGTCTCTGGCCATCCCCTGTACTGTGTCTGCAGTCTCTGGCCATCCCCTGTACTGTGTCCGCAGTCTCTGGCCATCCCCTGTACTGTGTCCGCAGTCTCTGGCCATCCCCTGTACTGTGTCCGCAGTCTCTGGCCATCCCCTGTACTGTGTCCGCAGTCTCTGGCCATCCCCTGTACTGTGTCCGCAGTCTCTGGCCTTCCCCTGTACTGTGTCCGCAGTCTCTGGTCATCTCCTGTACTATGTCCGCAGTCCATTGGTTCAGAATATTTTTTTTCTTGTTTTTCACCTCTAAAACCTAGGTGCGTCTTATGGTCAGGTGCGTCTTATGGAGCGAAAAATACGGTAGTTTTTTAAAAATTTTCACACCCCTGCACTCTATTTTTAAACATGTAGGTAATATGAGACATCTCCGTATCATCCTTGCTTCTACTATAGGTGACATTGTTGAATTAATTTGCCAACCAAAGTGGTCCAACATAAATTCAGGGTTGCAGCAGCATACTGCCATGTGCTGAAATCTGGCTTCCCCTGGGATGGTTAAACTTTTTTTTTTTTTATCATTGAAAGATGCTGAGGCCAGTGTGAAACAGTTGAAAAATAAACAGAAGGGTAGGTGATCTCTGTATTGCTGTAAATATGCTATATGAGACTTTTACTTTTAATAAGTACTTGTTTTTTGTTGTAGGTGCAGGACTGCCATCATGCCTTCTCCTGGCCCTGACCTTCGATTGGACAACACTGGGTTACGTGGAGCAAAGCAACCTCGGTGCAGACTGGCCTTGACTTTGCCTGGGGTTGATCGCTTAGGCACTTCTAGTCAGCCTTGCACAAATATTTGTGGCCCTGAAAATAAGTTGCTAAAGCTTTCCATGGAAAACAAATCCACTATGACTACTAACTCAATTTTTTCCACTGATTCAAATCTGTCCTCTCAGTCCATGTTGTCCTCCAAACTCTTATCAACCAGCAGCCCACTTCTTTCCCTGACTTCTGAATCCCATTTAACTAATAAATGGTCAACATCCATTTCACCTTCAGGCTTATCAAACTCATCTCTGATGTCTACAAATTTGCTGACATCCAACAAACCATCTGATTTAGATACAGCCTTTTCGGCACTTACCTCTAATGTTTCATTTTCTCCTAAATGTGCAATAACTTCTTCCTCTTTTCTGTCTTCTGGTGGAACTGTGAACTTTACATCTTTGTCTACTGAAAATCAAAACTTGAATTGTTTATTGTCCCAAAAAACTACAACGTCTCGATCATCTGTGCTTGATAATGCAGCAGGAGATCATAGCTTGTGTGTTAATCACCAGCTTGATATTTCTAATCTTTCAAATTCAGCTAAACACACAGTGACTTCAGTAACTTCTGTTTCCTCTGGTGTAGCCCTTAGCCTTAAACCTTCTTTTACTCCTAAGACTGAAACCCTCAGCCTTTCTCCAGAATCACTTCTTTTACCCTCCATCAATCTCCAGTGTGATAAACAAAACATCGAGAATACTCTAGCCCACTCAGCTCTTCCTCCAAGCTCATCTTCAAACTTACAGTCTACTCAAGGGCTTAGACAAGAAATATCTGAAGATTTTGAGTCACAGGAAGATGAATTGCCAGAAGATGATATATCGGTAAATTCTTCTGAGGGAAAGTCTCTGTCTTCATATACAGAGTTGCAGGCAAAGTGTACATGATTTATTCCTCTTTTATTGCATACCGTGTCTATAGGTTATTTGCTTTTATCCAACAGTTTGCCACGGAAAACTGTTTATCACAACCATCCGTACAGGAAAAACCACAAACCGTGGAGGAGGTGTCTGAAGCTCTCAAGAGCCAAAAATCAGAGACTCTTCTCAAACAGAAGAAGGTCAGTGGTCAATTAAACATATTTATGATGTCTTCCATCTAAATGTATTAGTATAGTTGAGATAACATTTGTTAATGAGGAAACTTCTCTTGAATAGTTTATACAACATAAATTAGCTTACACTGTTTTGGGTTTATTGTACTTAGAGGGGCTCTAGTTGCACCCCAAAAAAATTAAACGTCAGCAGCTACAAATACTGTAGTTGCTGACTTTTAATATAAGGTCATTTACCTGTCCAGGGATACAGCGATGTCCTCACCTGAGCCGATTCTTCAATTGGCTTCGGATGCAGGTGCTGGAATCTTAGGTAAGAGAAACTGGCTTCACAGTTGGTTTCCTACTGCGCATACTAAGCCGCACTGAGCTTTATGAATGGTTCGGCAGTGTTCTGGGACCTGTGATGTGTCTCAGAAGGCTGGGGGGGAGCGGGGGCTGAACTTCCACACAGATCTCCGTGGCGATCTGACTGGAAGTGGGGGAGTGGGTACCTGTCAAGACCAGGTACCCGCTTCCCCTGAAAAAATGCCAAATGTGGCAGTGGAGGGGGCGGGGATGCAAACAAGCAGAAACTCCCCGTCTGGGGGAAGTTCCACTTTAATCCACATAAACTAGGAACTGCATCATGGGGCTTGCCTTTGTTTGTCCCTGGGGGAACTTTTGGATAAGAAATTCAAAGGTCAGCAGATGTTTTGACTTTGAAGTTTCAAATTCAGTCTCTCATTTCCTATGTATAGTTATACAGTTGTGTAGACATTCATAACATTTTACTGTACAAGAATGGAAGTATGGTAATTTTACCTTTCTTTCTTTGTATTGACCTGAACTCCAAAAGTGAAGATTTGCTATATTGTAGGTACCGTAATTTTCCGGCGTATAAGACGACTGGGCGTATAAGACGACCCCCCTACTTTTCCTGTTAAAATATAGGGTTTGGGCTATACTCGCCGTATAAGACTACCCCCCTCTTCCAACCAATCACGGCAAGCAATGTACCAGTATTTTCTGTGCACACTGTGCACACTGCATACAAAGCCTGCTTGGATTGGGTGGGTCAGCTCTCCCTGCCTGCCCAGCCCTGCCTGTCTCCAAGATACCATAAATTGCACAGAACTGCCACAGACATTAAATATTAATAATTACCGTATCTCATAGCAGTTAAGGGGACAAGGTCGGATGCAGCAGTACCATACCGGTACTTCCGAGCTGACACTTCTGCACATGTCTAGGGCAGCAGTAGACGATCACTGATTTCCTCGCAGAACTGCATGAGACGTCGGATGCAGCCGTTCAGTGCTCGATTGATCGTGACTACAAACTGTGACATGCGCAGAATCACTGTGTATCCCTTCTCTGCATATCACAGTTTCAGTCAAGCTCAATCGAGCACTGCTGCATCCGACGTCTCATGCAGTTCTGCGAGCTATGGTGATCCGCGATCGTCTACTGCTATGCGCAGTAGCGTCAACCCGGAAGTACGGTAAGGTTTCAGCACACCACCCGGCGTATAAACGACCCCCGTGAGACGATTTCCAGGGGTTAAAATGTCGTCTTATACGCCGGAAAATACGGTAATATCTAGAAATGTTAATTGTGTCTAAACAGTACCCTGAAAAATTTACCTTTTTGTTATAAATTCCTTCTGCAAAATAACATTTCCTTTCTGTGCCTAAGCACACCTGTGCCTATAGCCTCATGGTTCTACATTTTCAGTGTGAAATTCTAAGGCATTGCTGGCTCTGACTTGCAGTGAGATTTTAGTAACTGGACTTTCTTCTTCTTGCTGGAGACAAGGCTGCAGTACAAGGATCTCTTTGCTTCTGCATCATTCATTCTGGATCTTGAATATTTTACTACAGTAATCAGACCAGTAGTTCAAGGTGGGGGGGGGGGGGGGCATCTCCTGATCCTCTACCACGATTTCCACCTCTACATAGAGACACTGCAAAACAAGGCATGGTGAGTCAGCAATAGCAAAAAGATCATCTCTGGTGATCATCCCTTTGCCCCCTTTTAAAGCAACTGCCAGAGGTTGCTTTAAAAAAAAAAAATTCCAATTGCGTTACCCTGTGAAGGGAGCAACTTTATGCTTGCATGTTCATCAGCCTGTTTGCTGCAACTGCACTCTGTAGCAGTGCTCCTGGCGCAGAGTCCCACACGTCCAGATGTGTATAAGGTCATGTCCCCAACTGGCCTCTGTGGTTCTTCTCAGTAGCCCCTACATTTAGTAATGAGCCCTGCAGTGACTGAGGATCAGGTAAAGGAACCATACGCTCAAATAGGGTCAGCACTGAGACAAATGCTACACACTGAAGTGACAATAGACAGGTTATTATAGAACTGTTTTCTTTAAAAGTTGGTGCAATTGTAATTATTTTAACATGGTGACGGTTGCTTTGAGAGATCTGGCAAAAAGTGATCTAATAATGCTCACTGAGGAATGGAGATGCAAAAGGTGTACTAGAGTACAAACCACTGGTACCTCAGGGGGTACCTGTGACAAGCTTAGGTACTTCTTAAAGTGAATATATTCTTTCAAAATAGTGATTTCCATAAGTATGTAAATTTTTTTGTACTTTGTAAAAAAAATTTATACATCACTTGAGGATGTAGGTATAAATAGTTTTTTTCCAAACCGTAAACCATGGGGCTCGCGATAATCACTGACCTTTTATAAAGGAGTACATACAGTGCCTTGAAAAATTATTCATACCCCTTTAAATTTTACACATTTTTTCATGTTACAACTAAAAACGTAACTGTATTTTATTGGGATTGTATGTGATAGATCAACCCTAAGTGGCACATAATTGTGAAGTGGAAGGAAAATTATTTTAAAAATTTTTTACAAATAAATATCTGAAAAGATTGGCATGCATTTGTATTCAGCCCCCTTTACTCTGACACCCCTAACTAAAAATCTAGTGGAACCAATTGCCTTCAGAAGTCGCTTAACCCCTAGACACCGATCACACACAAATATGCAGCCTCTCGGTGTCTGGGTCTTGGCGCCGAGCGGCCACATATTTGCGTACCATTTGAAAATACATATGTGCCGAGAGCGCACGCCCTGCGCGCTCCCAGCACATATGTCCGTGCCTCGTGGAAAGGTCCCGATCTCCCCTTGCGATCGGGACCTTTTCCGATCATGTGACCACCGTGACAGCAAATCACGGTGCTCACATGACCCTAAAACCCCGCCTCCCGTCTTCTGAAACCTCCTAAAGGGCTGGGAGGCGGCGGCAGAAAGTGGTTAATTAGTAAATAGAGTCCACCTGTGTGTAATTTAATCTCAGTATAAATACAGCTGTTCTGTGAATCCCTCAGAGGTTTGTTAGAGAACATTAGTGAACAAACAGCATCATGAAGACCAAGGAACACACCAGACAGGTCAGGGATAAAGTTTTGGAGAAGTTTAAAGCAGGGTTAGGTTATAAAAAAAAAAAAATATATATATATATATATATATATGTATATATACAGTTGCAAGAAAAAGTATGTGAACCCCTTGGGATTACGTGGAGTTTTGCATGAATTGGGCATAAAATGTGCTCTGAACGTCATCTAAGCCCACAATAGAAGAACACAGTCTGCTGAACATAATACTACACAAACATTAGATGTTGCCATGGTTTAATTGCACATAACATGTAAACATTCACAGTGCAGGGAGGAAAAAGTATGTGAACCTTTGGACTTAATAACTGGTTGACCCTCCTTTGGCAGCAATAACCTCAACCAAACGTTTCCTGTAGTTGCAGATCAGACCTGCGCAACGATCTGGACTAATTTTGGACCACTCCTCTTCACAAAACTGTTTCAGTGTAGCAATATTCTTGGGATGTCTGGTGTGAATCGCTCTCTTAAGGTCATGCCACAGCATTTCAATCGGGTTGAGGTCAGGACTCTGACTGGGCCACTCCAGAAGGCGTATTCTGTGCTGTTGCAGCCATTGTTTTGTTGAATTACTTGTATGCTTTGGGTCATTGTCCTGTTGCATCACCCATCCTCTGCGGAGCTTCAGTTGGCGGACAGATGGTCGTACATTTTCCTGCAAAATGTCTTGATAAACTCTGGAATTCATTTTCCCATCAATGACAACAATCCGTCCAGGCCCCGAGGCAGCAAAGCAGCCCCAAACCATGATGCTCCCTCCGCCATGTTTTACAGTGGGGATGAGGTTTTGATGTTGGTGTGCTGTGCCTTTTTTTCTCCACACATAGTGTTGTGTGTTCTTCCCAAACAACTCAATCTTGGTTTCATCTGTCCACAGTATATTTTGCCAGTAGTGCTGTGGAACATCCAGGTGCTCTTTTGCAAACTTCAAACGTGCTGCAATATTCTTTTTGGACAGCAATGGCTTCCTCCGTGGTGTCCTCCCATGTACTCCATTCTTGTTTAATGTTTTCCTTATTGTAGATGTGTCAACAAAAATGTTAGCATGTGCCAGAGATTTCTGTAGGTCTTTAGCTGACACTCTGGGATTCTTCTTTACTTCATGCAGCATTCTGCGCTGTGCTCTTGCAGTCATTTTTACAGGACGACCACGCCTAGGGAGAGTAACAACAGTGCTAAACTTTCTCCATTTGTAGACAGTCTGTCTTACTGTGGACACATGAACATCAAGGCTTTTGGAGATACTTTTGTAACCCTTTCCAGCTTCATGCAAGTCAACAATTCTTGATCGTAGGTCTTCTGAGAGCTCTTTTCTGCGAGGCATGGTTCACTTTAGACAGTGTTTCTTGAAACCAGCAAACCCAAAACAGGTGTGTGTTTTTTAAGGCAGGACAGCTGTCAGCAACACATCCAATATCATCACACTGATTGGAGTCAAGGTTGGCTCACTCCTGGCTCCAATTAGCTCTGGGAGAAGTCATTAAGCTAGGGCCTCACATACTTTTTCCTCCCTGCACTGTGAATGTTTACATGTTATGTGCAATTAAACCATGGCAACATCTAATGTTTGTGTAGTATTATGTTCAGCAGACTGTGTTCTCCTCTATTGTTGTGACTTAGATGACGTTCAGAGCACATTTTATGTCCAATTCATGCAAAACTCCACGTAATCCCAAGGGGTTCACATACTTTTTCTTGCAACTGTATATCCCCAGCTTTGAACATCTCATGGAGCACTGTTCAATCCATCATCTGAAAATGTACAGAGTACAGCTCAACTGCAGATCTACCAAGACATGGCCATCCACCTAAACTGACAGGCCGAGCAAGGAGAGCATTATTCAGAGAAGCAGCCAAGAGGCCCATGGTAACTCTGGAGAAGCTGCAGAGATCCGCAGCTCAGGTGAGAGAATCTGTCCACAGGACAATTAGTCATGCAGTCCACAAATCTGACCTTTATGGAACAGTGACAAGAAAGACATTGTTGAAAGAAAGCCATAAGAAGTCCTGTTTGTAGTTTGCGCGAAGCCATGTGGGGGACACAGCAAACATGGAAGAAGGTGCTCTAGTCAGATGAGACTGAAATCGAACTTCTTGGCCTAAAAGCAAAACGCTATGTGTGGCGGAAAACTAACACTGCACATCACCCTGAACACACCATCCCCACCATGAAACCTGGTGGCAGCATCATGTTGTGGGGATGCTTTTCTTCAACAGGGAAAGAGAAGCTGGTCAGAGTTGATGGGAAGATGGATGGAGCCAAATACAGGGCAATCTTAGACGAAAACCTGTTAGAGTCTGCAAAAGACTTAAGACTTGGCTGGAGGTTCACCTTCCAGCAGGACAATGACCCCAAACATACAGCCAGAGCTACAATGGAATGGTTTAGATGAAAGCATATTCACGTGTTAGAATGGCCCAGTCAAAGTCCAAACCTAAATCCAATTTAGAATCTGCGGCAAGACTTGAAAATTGCTGTTCACAGATGCTCTCCATCCAATCTGACAGAGCTTGAGCTATTCTGCAAAGAAGAATGGGGAACAATCTCCAGATGTGCAAAGCTAGTAGATACATCCCCAAAAAGACTTGCAGCTGTATTTGTAAGTGGTCCTACAAAGTATTGACTCGGGGGGGGGGGGGGGGGCTGAATACAAATGCACGCCACACCTTTTCAAATATTTATTTGTAAAAAAAATGTTGAAAACCATTTATCATTTTCACACTTCACAATTATGTGCCACTTTGTGTTGGTCTATTACATAAAATCCCAATAAAATACATTTGTTTTTTGGTTGTAACATAACAAAATGTGGAACATTTCAAGGGGTAGGAATGCTTTTTCAAGGCACTGTACTATTGTACAGTTGAGAAAAAATAGACTATCATAAAGCACATATAGTTGCACACATTCATATCATGGCATACAACGTATGTCTGCATACTATAGATTACTACTAGAAGGCTCTTTACAGAAAATGTTTAATGGTTTTGCAAATGTCTTATTGGTTATTTCTTTATTGTAAATGTTATTGATTGTTGCCAGCAGTTGGTACTCTTGCCCATTTTTTAGATACAGTATTTTCCACAGTAATCTCACTTCTTTTGAGAAGAAAGCCTGTAGTTTTCAGAATTTAATAACTTAAGTTGAATTTTATAAACCAAAATTAATGAAGGCAAGGCATGACTTATCCTTTTTCTTTTGCTGTGTACAGGTGGTTCTCCTCAGTAGATCAGGAGCCTTGAACATAAATAGCTTCTGCTGCTGCACAACATAATCTGTGAATCCTGTGTCATAGGTGTACCCTGCGTTAAATGTTTTTTTTTTTTAAACAATTATCCCTAAAATTGTGCAAAGGAGTAATAAAACATCATCAATTTAAAAACTGTTATATTAGAAATTGCAAAATAAAATTAACTATATTTAAAAATAATGTTGTACTGATCATTCAGGGTATATTTTATATTTTGCAGCAAAATGTTTTTGGTTTTTTTTTGTCTTTTCTTCTAGATGGCTTTAATATCTGCAGTCTGCTGTTCATTGGTCAATTCACCAGCCTTCTCAGACCCTTCAGATCTCACCAGAACTGAAATTCAGACCTTGTGTGAAGATGTAGCAAGACTGGACCCAGAGTTTGTTCTGAAGGTAAGAGGATCAGCAGAAAGTATAAATACTGTACATATGTATTTACTGATTTTATTGCTAAATTAGACCAAATATTTGTGGTAAAAAGCGTGGCGCATAAGGTATTTTTAATTCCTTTCACACTGGACCTTTTTTTCCACTGTAGGTTGCTTTGTACACTCGCCAGGAACTCAATATACGTAGTACTGCAAATTTCTTGCTTGCTGTGTCTGCATTCCTGCCAGCCTGTCGTCCACACCTGCGCAGGTATTTTTGCCCTTCTGTCCAGCTTCCCAGCGATTGGATGGAGGTACCACGCTTGTATCAGGTATGTCTTTGACATCGTAATGCAGTTCTTGATACTTTTTTTAGTTAAGCCTATATTGTCCTTTTATAATACCAATGCAATAACTACTCGGAAAGATCGTACACCTTTAAATAATATAATAGTGTCTGCTGAACCAATGGCTGATTAGTTAACCACTTGCCCTCCAGAGGATTTACCCCCAACCCCCCCCCCCCTTCCTGACCAGGCCATTTTTTGTGATACTGTGCTGCGTTAGTATAACTGACAATTGTGTGGTCATGCAATGCTGTACATAAATGAAATTTATGTCATTGTTTTCCATTTTCTTTCGGTGATATTTGATCACTTTTTAGCGGTTTTATTTTTTGTGCTATAAACAAAAAGAGACCGTCCAATTTAAAAACAAAAAAACAATATTTTTGACTTTTTGCTATAAAACCTATCCAATAAAAAAAATAAAATTTCTTTATAAATTTAGGCCAAAATGTATTCTGCTACATATCTTTGCTAAAAAAAATCCCAATAATTATATAATAATTGGTTTACAAGCGTATATATACTGGAATTTTTATTTTTTTTATACTAGTAATGGCGGCGATCAGTGACTTATAGCGGGACTGCGGCGGGCATTCTGACACTGGGTGGGAACTGACTAACTGCCACTGACATCCGAAGTGACATGAATACAGTGATCAGTGCTAATAAAAAGCACTGACACTGTACTAATGACACTGGACAGGAAGGGATTAACATCTGGGGTGATCAAAGGGTTACCTGTGTGCTGTGTGTGTGTTTACATTGTGTGCTGTGTGCAGTTTTACTTGGGAGACATGCTGCTTTGTATCTCTCTGCTGTGTAGAGAGATAACGGGCCAGGGATCCTCTCCCCACACCCACTGTCACAATTTAAAAACAAATTTTTATATAATTCAGAGACCTGTGAATGGGAGAACAACAAGTTCTCACAGCCTTTGCAGCTGACAACTTGCAGTTCTCAATGAACTACCAGAGCACTGTTGAGCACACTAAGTAGTGCTGTGTGTGTGTTTACATTGTGTGCTGTGTGCAGTTTTACTTGGGAGACATGCTGCTTTGTATCTCTGCTGTGCAGAGAGATAACGGGCCAGGGATCCTCTCCCCACACCCACTGTCACAATTTAAAAACAAATTTTTATATAATTCAGAGACCTGTGAATGGGAGAACAACAAGTTCTCACAGCCTTTGCAGCTGACAACTTGCAGTTCTCAATGAACTACCAGAGCACTGTTGAGCACCCTAAGTAGTTCATTGATGCTTCCTGTCATTCAGTCACTGCCTGCCCATACAAGGTACAAGCAGACAGATACACTGACAAACTTCAGTAGCCTAAGATTGCACCCGTGATGCTTTGCAGGCTCCAAGAAAAAAAATGCAGATTTTTTTTTTTTTTACCTGCAAAAGATGTGCATTTAATTTTTTTTAACAAAGGTGAACTTATCCCTTTTAAGATTTTTTTTTTTCTTTTTGTTAGTTGCTACTAACTGTCCTACTACATAGTTGTCTGAAATTGAAGTTTTGGTTAAGGTGGGTTTAACATTTTTTTTTTCTGTGTGATTTTTTACTTAGAGTCTGGCGGGGAAGGGAGATAACCTGGCTGCTCTGCCACATTGCCTACGCCGAGCTCTTACACTCAAGTTCAAAGAATTCAGTGAATATCAGCTGGCAAAATACAATACACGTGTGCAAAGAGGGAAGCATGGTACCAAGAAAAAGAGAGAGAGAGAATCTAAAGTAAGAATGGTTCTGTCCAACATTTTTACTGCTTTTTAGCATGAGAATGTATTTACTGGATGTTTCAGGTTGCATGTACACTTACCGTGGGGGTGAACTTGAAATTTTGTTATTTAGTACACCGTCAATGGGCTGAAACTCTGTGGCCTCTAGACGGTTCTCAGGCACATACTTATTATGTGAGAATGCAACATGCCCTAAAATGTTTTATACTGTTCTCTCTGTTTTGCTCTCTCTCTCTGTTTCGCTCGCTCTCTCTGTTTTGCCCGCTCTCTCTGTTTTGCCCGCTCTCTCTGTTTTGCCCGCTCTCTCTGTCCCCCCCCGCTCTCTCCCCTCCCCTCCAAGCTCTCTTCCCCTCCCCCCCCCCCCCCCCCCCCCCCCCCCCCCCCCCCCCCCCCCCCCCCCCCCCCCCCCCCCCCTCCCCCCCCCCTCTCCCCCCCCCCCCCCCCCCCCCCCCCCCCCCCCCCCCCCCCCCCCCCCCCCCCCCCCCCCCCCCCCCCCCCCCCCCCCCCCCCCCCCCCCCCCCCCCCCCCCCCCCCCCCCCCCCCCCCCCCCCCCCCCCCCCCCCCCCCCCCCCCCCCCCCCCCCCCCCCCCCCCCCCCCCCCCCCCCCCCCCCCCCCCCCCCCCCCCCCCCCCCCCCCCCCCCCCCCCCCCCCCCCCCCCCCCCCCCCCCCCCCCCCCCCCCCCCCCCCCCCCCCCCCCCCCCCCCCCCCCCCCCCCCCCCCCCCCCCCCCCCCCCCCCCCCCCCCCCCCCCCCCCCCCCCCCCCCCCCCCCCCCCCCCCCCCCCCCCCCCCCCCCCCCCCCCCCCCCCCCCCCCCCCCCCCCCCCCCCCCCCCCCCCCCCCCCCCCCCCCCCCCCCCCCCCCCCCCCCCCCCCCCCCCCCCCCCCCCCCCCCCCCCCCCCCCCCCCCCCCCCCCCCCCCCCCCCCCCCCCCCCCCCCCCCCCCCCCCCCCCCCCCCCCCCCCCCCCCCCCCCCCCCCCCCCCCCCCCCCCCCCCCCCCCCCCCCCCCCCCCCCCCCCCCCCCCCCCCCCCCCCCCCCCCCCCCCCCCCCCCCCCCCCCCCCCCCCCCCCCCCCCCCCCCCCCCCCCCCCCCCCCCCCCCCCTCCCCCCCCCCCCCCCCCCCCCCCCCCCCCCCCCCCCCCCCCCCCCCCCCCCCCCCCCCCCCCCCCCCCCCCCCCCCCCCCCCCCCCCCCCCCCCCCCCCCCCCCCCCCCCCCCCCCCCCCCCCCCCCCCCCCCCCCCCCCCCCCCCCCCCCCCCCCCCCCCCCCCCCCCCCCCCCCCCCCCCCCCCCCCCCCCCCCCCCCCCCCCCCCCCCCCCCCCCCCCCCCCCCCCCCCCCCCCCCCCCCCCCCCCCCCCCCCCCCCCCCCCCCCCCCCCCCCCCCCCCCCCCCCCCCCCCCCCCCCCCCCCCCCCCCCCCCCCCCCCCCCCCCCCCCCCCCCCTCCCCCCCCCCCCCCCCCCCCCCCCCCCCCCCCCCCCTCCCCCCCCCCCCCCCCCCCCCCCCCCCCCCCCCCCCCCCCCCCCCCCCCCCCCCCCCCCCCCCCCCCCCCCCCCCCCCCCCCCCCCCCCCCCCCCCCCCCCCCCCCCCCCCCCCCCCCCCCCCCCCCCCCCCCCCCCCCCCCCCCCCCCCCCCCCCCCCCCCCCCCCCCCCCCCCCCCCCCCCCCCCCCCCCCCCCCCCCCCCCCCCCCCCCCCCCCCCCCCCCCCCCCCCCCCCCCCCCCCCCCCCCCCCCCCCCCCCCCCCCCCCCCCCCCCCCCCCCCCCCCCCCCCCCCCCCCCCCCCCCCCCCCCCCCCCCCCCCCCCCCCCCCCCCCCCCCCCCCCCCCCCCCCCCCCCCCCCCCCCCCCCCCCCCCCCCCCCCCCCCCCCCCCCCCCCCCCCCCCCCCCCCCCCCCCCCCCCCCCCCCCCCCCCCTCCCCCCCCCCCCCCCCCCCCCCCCCCCCCCCCCCCCCCCCCCCCCCCCCCCCCCCCCCCCCCCCCCCCCCCCCCCCCCCCCCCCCCCCCCCCCCCCCCCCCCCCCCCCCCCCCCCCCCCCCCCCCCCCCCCCCCCCCCCCCCCCCCCCCCCCCCCCCCCCCCCCCCCCCCCCCCCCCCCCCCCCCCCCCCCCCCCCCCCCCCCCCCCCCCCCCCCCCCCCCCCCCCCCCCCCCCCCCCCCCCCCTCCCCCCCCCCCCCCCCCCCCCCCCCCCCCCCCCCCCCCCCCCCCCCCCCCCCCCCCCCCCCCCCCCCCCCCCCCCCCCCCCCCCCCCCCCCCCCCCCCCCCCCCCCCCCCCCCCCCCCCCCCCCCCCCCCCCCCCCCCCCCCCTCCCCCCCCCCCCCCCCCCCCCCCCCCCCCCCCCCCCCCCCCCCCCCCCCCCCCCCCCCCCCCCCCCCCCCCCCCCCCCCCCCCCCCCCCCCCCCCCCCCCCCCCCCCCCCCCCCCCCCCCCCCCCCCCCCCCCCCCCCCCCCCCCCCCCCCCCCCCCCCCCCCCCCCCCCTCCCCCCCCCCCCCCCCCCCCCCCCCCCCCCCCCCCCCCCCCCCCCCCCCCCCCCCCCCCCCCCCCCCCCCCCCCCCCCCCCCCCCCCCCCCCCCCCCCCCCCCCCCCCCCCCCCCCCCTCCCCCCCCCCCCCCCCCCCCCCCCCCCCCCCCCCCCCCCCCCCCCCCCCCCCCCCCCCCCCCCCCCCCCCCCCCCCCCCCCCCCCCCCCCCCCCCCCCCCCCCCCCCCCCCCCCCCCCCCCCCCCCCCCCCCCCCCCCCCCCCCCCCCCCCCCCCCCCCCCCCCCCCCCCCCCCCCCCCCCCCCCCCCCCCCCCCCCCCCCCCCCCCCCCCCCCCCCCCCCCCCCCCCCCCCCCCCCCCCCCCCCCCCTCCCCCCCCCCCCCCCCCCCCCCCCCCCCCCCCCCCCCCCCCCCCCCCCCCCCCCCCCCCCCCCCCCCCCCCCCCCCCCCCCCCCCCCCCCCCCCCCCCCCCCCCCCCCCCCCCCCCCCCCCCCCCCCCCCCCCCCCCCCCCCCTCCCCCCCCCCCCCCCCCCCCCCCCCCCCCCCCCCCCCCCCCCCCCCCCCCCCCCCCCCCCCCCCCCCCCCCCCCCCCCCCCCCCCCCCCCCCCCCCCCCCCCCCCCCCCCCCCCCCCCCCCCCCCCCCCCCCCCCCCCCCCCCCCCCCCCCCCCCCCCCCCCCCCCCCCCCCCCCCCCCCCCCCCCCCCCCCCCCCCCCCCCCCCCCCCCCCCCCCCCCCCCCCCCCCCCCCCCCCCCCCCCCCCCCCCCCCCCCCCCCCCCCCCCCCCCCCCCCCCCCCCCCCCCCCCCCCCCCCCCCCCCCCCCCCCCCCCCCCCCCCCCCCCCCCCCCCCCCCCCCCCCCCCCCCCCCCCCCCCCCCCCCCCCCCCCCCCCCCCCCCCCCCCCCCCCCCCCCCCCCCCCCCCCCCCCCCCCCCCCCCCCCCTCCCCCCCCCCCCCCCCCCCCCCCCCCCCCCCCCCCCCCCCCCCCCCCCCCCCCCCCCCCCCCCCCCCCCCCCCCCCCCCCCCCCCCCCCCCCCCCCCCCCCCCCCCCCCCCCCCCCCCCCCCCCCCCCCCCCCCCCCCCCCCCCCCCCCCCCCCCCCCCCCCCCCCCCCCCCCCCCCCCCCCCCCCCCCCCCCCCCCCCCCCCCCCCCCCCCCCCCCCCCCCCCCCCCCCCCCCCCCCCCCCCCCCCCCCCCCCCCCCCCCCCCCCCCCCTCCCCCCCCCCCCCCCCCCCCCCCCCCCCCCCCCCCCCCCCCCCCCCCCCCCCCCCCCCCCCCCCCCCCCCCCCCCCCCCCCCCCCCCCCCCCCCCCCCCCCCCCCCCCCCCCCCCCCCCCCCCCCCCCCCCCCCCCCCCCCCCCCCCCCCCCCCCCCCCCCCCCCCCCCCCCCCCCCCCCCCCCCCCCCCCCCTCCCCCCCCCCCCCCCCCCCCCCCCCCCCCCCCCCCCCCCCCCCCCCCCCCCCCCCCCCCCCCCCCCCCCCCCCCCCCCCCCCCCCCCCCCCCCCCCCCCCCCCCCCCCCCCCCCCCCCCCCCCCCCCCCCCCCCCCCCCCCCCCCCCCCCCCCCCCCCCCCCCCCCCCCCCCCCCCCCCCCCCCCCCCCCCCCCCCCCCCCCCCCCCCCCCCCCCCCCCCCCCCCCCCCCCCCCCCCCCCCCCCCCCCCCCCCCCCCCCCCCCCCCCCCCCCCCCCTCCCCCCCTCCCCCCCCCCCCCCCCCCCCCCCCCCCCCCCCCCCCCCCCCCCCCCCCCCCCCCCCCCCCCCCCCCCCCCCCCCCCCCCCCCCCCCCCCCCCCCCCCCCCCCCCCCCCCCCCCCCCCCCCCCCCCCCCCCCCCCCCCCCCCCCCCCCCCCCCCCCCCCCCCCCCCCCCCCCCCCCCCCCCCCCCCCCCCCCCCCCCCCCCCCCCCCCCCCCCCCCCCCCCCCCCCCCCCCCCCCCCCCCCCCCCCCCCCCCCCCCCCCCCCCCCCCCCCCCCCCCCCCCCCCCCCCCCCCCCCCCCCCCCCCCCCCCCCCCCCCCCCCCCCCCCCCCCCCCCCCCCCCCCCCCCCCCCCCCCCCCCCCCCCCCCCCCCCCCCCCCCCCCCCCCCCCCCCCCCCCCCCCCCCCCCCCCCCCCCCCCCCCCCCCCCCCCCCCCCCCCCCCCCCCCCCCCCCCCCCCCCCCCCCTCCCCCCCCCCCCCCCCCCCCCCCCCCCCCCCCCCCCCCCCTCCCCCCCCCCCCCCTCCCCCCCCCCCCCCCCCCCCCCCCCCCCCCCCCTTTTTAAAATCACATTGTAATTACACTGCATATATGTGAATGGCTTCCAGAACGTCATGTTATTTCACTCGTCATCTGATTCCATGCGTTCTGGAATGCGTCAGTGTGAACCAGGGCTTAATTGGGGAGATGTTTATATTTCCAAGAAATGGCACATATTGGTCATTGTATGTGTATCTAGCTTTCTCGTAATTTTGCTTACTTTAAGAGATGAAAATTTTTTTTTTTATATTAGGTTTCTAAACCCTTGAGATTTGGTAGAAAATTAAGGGCGATTGAGTCTTCCTTAAAGCTTCTCCAGGAACAGGTGGGTTCTTCCGCAGCACATTACCAAGTGTTAACATGTTATATTTCTAAAGATGTATGCTGAAAATAAGTTCTATCTCTTTTTAGCGTGATCAGGCTAATTCTGCTTCCAATGAGAAGAAAAAGAAGAAGAAAGATAAATTCTCTTTGAAGAGTTTGATTCAGAGATTACATATCTCTCAACCAGCTTATTATCATGTTATGAGCCTGCTTGGTTGCAGGTTAGCAGTTTTTTTAAAAATTACTTTGTATCTCATTGGTATCACTGATTTAATTCATCATAGCACTTCTTTATTATATGGACAGGTATCCTAAAGACTTGACAGCCTTCTCACGTAGTGGTCTTGAGGGTCCCTGGCAGTCACATTTGTCAGAGCAGAGAATGAAGCTGAAACAGCCGGAGACCTGGGAAAGAGAACTGAGCAAGAAAGGCAACACTGGCCCTGTGTGGGAGAGTCTGCTAGGTAAGTAACACACAAAGGTACTGCAGGTAGGAGCAGAGGCAGATTAAGGCCATACACTAGCAGATTTATGAAGGAACGTTTGTATAAATATTCATGTAGACATTTCTTTGAAAATTCTTAACAGTACATTCAATGACTTGATGTATGTCCTTTGAAAGTACTTCAAAAACTTTGCTTTTAATGTTTGAATTTGGAGTAATTGAACTTTCTCAAATCAAAACCACATTCACTGTTAGATATTCATTTGTTCATTTGTTTAAAGAACAAAATTCCATCCTGCCCCTTCGAATTTTATCATAACTACACTTGAAAACAATGATTGATTTGACCTTATTAACCATTCAAAAATTGAACAAACTTTTTTAAATTAAAAATGTTCAAATTAAATTATATTAGTGTATGTTCAGCTTGAAGAAGACTGAAATTAGCAGTTTTGCCCCTCTCCCTCCCCTTTTTTTTTCTGTGCCTATTTCAGTCCTTATTAATGTCAGTTTTTTTTCATTGTTTATAATAGTCTGACCCACCCCATCAGATAGCAACTGCCTGAAAGTGCATCGACCCTTAGAAAATGAGAGGCAGGTGCACGGTGACCAGTTGTGCTATCCCCCTGATTTACTGCAAGAGTATAAATGCATGAAGGTTGTAGCTGGGCCCCCCGGACATCCACCAAGCCAAAAGATCCTGCCTAGTTTCCTTGTGGATAATCGGGCTCTGGTAAATAGTGCCTTCCTCATTCAGGATATGAAGTTTTAAAAGATCAAAGAAGATTCCACCTGTATTTGAGTCTAGAAGTTACAGACTAGAAGTATCTTGGCCACCATCCTTAGGAGAAAAAGTTTGCAGTTTTTCCAAGTTTTGGAAAATTTTCATCCAACTTTTATCCATTGCTCTTTGTTTTGTGCTGGGATCATGGAATCTCAGTAAATGCATATAGTACAATTACAGCAAATCCACTGAGTAGGAACCGCTTCAAACAGTAGATGAAGAAAAAAAGCGGATTTCCTGCATGGATGCAGTAAGTCTAAACCATTTTCACCTAATACATTCTCTGCATGAAAAAAAATTAATGTAAAAAAGAGTCCCGCTTGTGTACTTGTTTACACCACACACCCCTTACCCAAATACTTACCTGAGCCCTCTGATGATCCAGCGCTGTGCCCGTCTGCAGCAGCGCTGGTCTCTGTGCCTCTTCTCACAGAACAGATTTAGAGTGGCGGGGGCCATTGGCTGCTGCTTCTGTCATTCAAACCCTATAAGGAGTGAGCGGGGGATGGGGCCAAGCTGTGCTGTGTGTCTATGGACACATACAGCCCAGCTTTGGAGCAAGCCCGCATGTGTGCCCCCATAGCAAGCGGCTTGTACACGCAGTAGAGGAGTGGCTGAAAGCATTGGCGGGGGACCCCAGAAGAAGAGGTAAGGCGCTACTTTATGCAATACCATTGCATAGAGCAGGTAAGTATGTGTTTTTTTTTATTTTAGGAAAAAAATATAGCCTTTACAATCACTTTAGGAAATATATGTCAGTTTGTACCATGTGGAAATCCTAGCTGATTTCATACCCACATTACACTTTATGATTGACACCAGTACTTTAATAGGATACAATTTTGAAACTGGGATCATGTTTAGTGTTTTTTTTGTTTATTATGATCAAGAAAAATTAAAAAAAAATAGAGGTTGAGTTATAGCTAGCCATTGTTTAATTAATAATGTTCTTTATTTTATCACACAGACAACCATAAAGTTCCATTCATGGCTTTATTGAGGAATCTAAGAAATATGATAAGAGCAGGCATTAGTAAGAAGCATCACAGAGCAGTGAATGCACGACTAACCAATCAGGTATTATTCTACCTCAGTCTTTTTTCATTTTGCTGTGCTTATTTGTAAGTGTATATGCTGGGCAGTCTTAGCCTTGGTTCACACCGGTGCGGCTTCAGGTGCGACATGCGATTTATAAATTGCATCTGAAGTCGCATCTAATGTATTTCTATGCCACTGTCTTAATCAGTGCGATCAGATGTAGCACTATTTCAAAATTAGTTCCTGCACTACTTTCTTCCTATTTCATTGCAACTTGTATTGACTTCTGATAAATGAATTTGCAAACCAAAGTGAAATCGGAGTTACAAATTGCACTGATCTTTTAGCAGTGCTTCACTTGAAGTAGCGCAATTTTAAAGTTGCATTTAGTGTGAACTAGGACTCATTTTAAAGAGCAAAAATGTACAAAGCTATGAAACATGACATCTCTGAATAGCTACCAAAAAAATACTAAGTAGCAAGTGTAATCAGGATGTAACAAGACAGAACATTACAGCATATACAGTATACATAAATTTCAAGTGAAAACAACCATTTTTTTTTCCTTTTAGTATTATTATGTTAGCACCAACATTGTGCACTACACCTTACAATATGAACAGAGACAGTACAGTTACAATACAAATCACGATAAGAGGGTTAGAAGTGCTCTGCTGATGAGAGCGTACCATCTAAAAAGGGAAGGGCAAGTGATATTATAGGTAATAACTGTGTGGAGATGAGTTGATGGAGAAAGTAAAATTTCAATTGTTAGACAGAGTAGGGATAAGCTTCTTTAAAGAGATGAGTTTTCAGAGTTTGCCTAAAGTAGACAGAGTAGTGTTATAGTTTTAAAAAAGTACCGACTGGAGTAGAGAGTCCCAGAGGATAGAAGAGGCTCTGAAGAAGTCCTGGAAGTGAGCATAGCTGGAGGTCACGAGAGAGCTAGAGAGCAGGAGGGTCTTAGAGGATGAAAAGAGGACGGTTCAGTTGTCATTTTGAGACAAGACTGATGATGTTGCTCGGGGAGTTGTGGATGGCTTTGTGTGTTATTTGAGTATCTTGAATTTGGGAGGGTGAAAGGTAGTGGAAGGATTGCCAGAGAGATTTATTTCTAACAAACCAGACCATTTGTGGTAACTATATAGTCTGAATTTCAAAGATCTAGGCCTGAATCCGTTATTAGAAACACAAGAAAGGGAGAAAGCTATATTTAATTTGCTTAACCCCTTATTGTATTGTTGGTGATGTACGACTCCCTGCAACCATTTTATCAACATGCGTTTACGTTTGTTTTTTTCTGTATGTATTTTATTTAGCATGCTGTGATCCAAAGCCGCCTTTTTCCATTCCGTTTCCTTTCTGCATACAAAGTCATCCAAGACCTGGAGTGTCAAGTTCAAAAAGCAGGTGGGATTTTTATATCTACTTGATATATAACTGCAAGGAATGAGATTTACTAAATAGTCTTGTAATTTTATTATCTTCATTTACATTTATATTGCTAGCATTACTAGAACCTTGCCCATTGGATTTCCAGCTGTGGATCAAAACACAAAATGAGAGACAGTACACACACATAATGGCGGGAGAGCTGTTCTGAGGATAAAAATGGATAAAAAAATTACTATTATGAGCAGTGATAGTTATTTTTAATGTGATGTATTGGAAATATATGTAACTTTCATATAGATGTCCATACACTAGAAAAAAAAATCGTTTTTGAAAATCCATCATTTTGACAGTTTGTTAATGGGCACAAACAGAAAATAATTTTTTACTTTTTTTTGAGCCAAAAAATTTAAGGAAATGATTGGGAAACTTCTGCTAGACTATAAATTGAAAGGTTAATGTGTTTCTTGCCCATTAAAAATCAAAGTGTTCGTACTGCGCATATGTGACAAATTAAACAAAAAACTGATTTAAGTCCATTGAGCGATTTATCATTCAAATTCAATCAATATTACGTGATGGCAATATTGCTTGCTCTTACAACCGAATGTTTTGGTTGGAGGAGTTTGAGCGATCTTCCAGCTAGTGTATGGCCAAAATAAGGCACAGTTCTTATTCTTGGATGAAATGGCCTTGTGAATGGATTGTCCTCTAAGCTCCAGTGTAGTTGGTTATGCAAAGCTAATACTGTCAGGGGTTTTACTTATTTTTGCCTACGAATGTGTTGTGTTATATACGTTTCAATTTGTGGTGTTGCTAATGCTTGGGAGAATTTTTTAAGACCTGACTCAATCTTTTTTTTTTTTTTTTTTTTAGCTTTGTATATAGTAGAGAAGAGTTGATGTTTGTCAGCTTTTTTTTTCCTGTTTGTTACCTATTGTCTGCTATTTTCCAAGTCTTTCTGTCCCATTGACAATAGGGCAAAAAAAATATGTATTTTGTCTGCATCCTTGTTGAAGAAGTAGGACATCCTTGGCTTTCCTGATAAGAAGTGAGGAAGGATCTTACCAACAAGACAGCAATTAAAACCAGAGGATTCTAATCTTTACCTGACCTGCCCAAAGCTAAATAAAATATTTTGGTTGAAGTTAGGATTTAATAGAGCTTAATAAACATCATCTTTCAACAATCCCTCACAGGAGACCCATTGCCCTCCAATGCTGTCCTCCTCCAGCGTATATTTCGCCGGGAAGGGAAGAATATTCCAATGTTGGCACGCAACCGTTTTGGACGACGTGAGCTCAGAGCAAGTTTGGCTGTTCCTGTTGTTCATCAACTGCTTAAAAGACAGAGAGAGGCAATTAGGAAAGCCAGGTGAGGAAAATAAAGCAATTACCAGAGAAAGTGAATTCAGTTCATGATATTTACTATGTTTCTTTGCTGATTTGTGATGCAGAATGATAATGTTTGATGAGGATGTCCTTCAGAGCTATAAGAAATCCCTGGAGGAAGCTGTTCGGTTATCAGCCCATTACAACATCCCTCCCGTTCCTGGGCGTACAGTTATCCTGATGCATGTGGGCAATGGCATGTATGTACCGTGCCATGGAGCAAAAGAACTAGCTGTTTCAACAACTGCAGATTCTGGGAGCTGTTCACCAACAGTAAGTTGTACCACATATTAAAATGACCTCAGTAAATGCGCATGTTAAAATAATACTTGTGCAAATACAATGCTTGGCCAACATACTAGGACATCTGATTGTTTTTCCATATGATGAAGCCCTTGATATATCAATTTGTCACCTGACATGCATATCCGCTGTTTGGGGTATGTCCAGCAAACTCCTTAATAAGTACATATAACAACACAATCCTATGTATGTTTGATAAGCATTGAGCAATGCAGACTTGCCCAGACTCTTTCAAGCTTGACCTCTGTTGCAATTGTAAAAAGCAGTTATGTATATTTCACACAACTCCCCCCCCCCCCCCCCCCCCCCCCCCCCCCCCAAAAACAAAAACCGTTGCCTGCTTATTTGATACAGTTTCCAGCAAAACATACCTTCCATAGGGATAAATGCTAATGCATGTAAAATGTTTTTTATATGGTATACTCCTTTTAAGATGATACACATACTGTATAAACCAACAATAAACATGTGATCTACAATAAATAATTTTATATAGGCTACAAAACACAATCAAGTATCTTATTGAGTGAATGAATACAGTTAAAAGTGCCACAAACAAAAGTGCGCAGTCCAAATGTATCCAATAAAATTCGGTGAAAAAGCTACTAAGCACACAGGTATTTCACAATGATTCCTCCACCACAGATTTTCAACTTCTTACCAGATCAATTGATCTCAACACAGAAGAGATCAATATACGCTTGTGTGTATGCTTTCAAATAGCACTGGCCTAGCTGTCATCAGCCCTTCGACCCTTCACAGCCACAATACCACAGGATACAGCAGGTAAGTGGAGAAATCTTTTACAGCTACAACTTTGCAGTGTTCCTCAAAAAAGAAGCCAGGGGAGCCACAATAGTGTTAAACCATAAAAACTTGCTTTTATGAAAATAGACAGATACAAAATCAGAGGAAACGAGCCCATATTGAGACAGACGCCAAGACACGAATCTTCGGAATACATGTGATGTCAGCGGCTAGGCTCTACACAACATGTTTTACCCCCACCCCTGACAACGCTGATTGGTGGTGAAACATGTTGAGCCCCCTGGCTTCTTTTTGAGGAATACTGAAAATTTGTAGCTGTGGCTCCCCTGGCTTCTTTTTATGGAATACTGCAAAGTTTTAACTGTATTTATTCACTCAATAAGGCACTTGATTGTGTTTTGTAGCCTATACTAAATTATTTATTGCAGATCACATGTCTATTGTTGGTTTATATGTGTATCATCTTGAAGGAGCGTGCCATATATAACACCTTTTGTATAAGGTTTAGCATTCAAACCCTTTTGGTTGCTGCACGCTAATTTTCCCACTAAGTGCAAAATACACTGTTTTACAATAAATGCATGTAAAACATCTACAACTCCATGTACCTAAAATGTGGAGGTGTGAAATGGCTCTCATCACTGTGGTAGCTATTCTGCCGAGTCTCAAGTGCCTAGCCCAGCAATGGGCAAACTACGGCCCGCGGGCCATATACGGCCCGGCGGACCTTTTAATACGGCCCGCAGCCAGGGCAGGCAAACATTGGCTGTCAGGATGTGTGTAGGCGGGGGCAGCGTGACGAACGTGAGGGGAGCTAGGCTCCTCTCACAGTCCGCCCTGAAGACCGGAACGGCGCGGGAACACGGCGCGAGGAACGCGCGGAGCAAAGGTAAGTGAATTGACACGGGGGACTTGGCTTACTACTTGGGGGGGAATAGTACTGTGGGGGATGAAATACTATATGAGGGATGAATTACTATGGGGAATGAATTACTATAGGGGGGATGAATTATTATAGGGGGGATGAATTACTATATGGGGGATGAATTACTATGGGGGATGAATTACTATATGGGGGATGAATTACTATAGGGGGGATGAATTACTATAGGGGGGAATTACTATATGGGGTTAATGAATTACTATATGGGGGATGAATTACTATATGGGGGATGAATTACTATAGGGGGGATGAATTACTATATGGGGGATGAATTACTATATGGGGGATGAATTACTATGGGGGATGAATTACTATATGGGGGATGAATTACTATGGGGGATGAATTATTATAGGGGGGATGAATTACTATATGGGGGATGAATTACTATGGGGGATGAATTACTATATGGGGGATGAATTACTATGGGGGATGAATTACTATATGGGGGATGAATTACTATGGGGGATGAATTACTATATGGGGGATTAATTACTATGCTTACTATGGGGGAATATTACTATACTTACTATGGATGACACATACACATCATTCATCTACTCTTGGTCCGGCCCCCGGGTCCAATATATGAACCCATTGCGGCCCTCAAGTCAAAAAGTTTGCCCACCCCTGGCCTAGCCTATGAGTCTCTACATGTAATACAATTGCAAATATATAGAAGAGCAGACATTTAAAATGTGAAATTTACATCACGTTTACTTTAAGTAGATTTAAAAGCAAAAACAGAAATGTATTACATTGCAGCTTACCAGTCCTTAGATATGGTGGCTTTAGTTGTTTATTTCAGGCTACAAACATTTAGCAATACAGAAAATACCTATAGATCTGGCCAGAAATTCAGTGCCCTTATAACCTCCTATGAATTGAATGGAAATCACAAAGGCTGCTATCTTCCTTTCAAACATTCTTCTGTAAATTAAAAATCCCCCCATCCCCCATTATCATTCCCAGTTCAGGGGACACTACTTATAGTCTTTCACAAAGGCCCACTGCTATCAGACAACGCCCCTGGATCCAGTGAATGTATTTGCAGTGGTGTCAAGGCTTCTTTGCAAAAACATATTAAATGCACATTTTTGTATTAATCAATATGAGTTCATTTATTAATTTTTTGCAAATGGTGGACTTAGGCTTTAAGGTTTACTACACCTCGCATTGCTCTTATAAAATAAGTATACACATTTGAACTTTGATTTGATCTTCTGTTTTTTCATATGCTTTGCTTTGATCGCATTCTTTTTCCTCTGCAGCTCATGGATGTGGGTTTGCTGTTGAGTCTTATGTTGAAAGAAACAGCAGAATGTGCTGAACTTGTCTTATACAGCGATCGTGAATATGCCTTGGTGGAACAGTCCACTAGTCCTCTTCTTCAGCGTTTGGAAGAGATCAAAGAACAAACAACAGTGAGGAAGAGAAACATTATCATATTTCTTTCAGTACAGGTTTCATTTAGGCTGTCAGAGTTTTTACAGAGTTCTTTCATTTTCCTCAGAAAATGTCAGGGTGGTCGCCCCTACCCTTTGAGGAGAGATGTCCTGAAGCAGAGTACCTGTTGGAGCTTCTTAAAAAACGAACAAAGGTAAGCAGATGTAAGTCAAGTGATGGCTGCACTTGTGACTGATCATGCAAGTTTCTGTAAGTAAATCCTAGAAAATTAAAAAAAAACACCGTTGTGGTATTTTAACTAATTTTATTCACCTATTTTTAATTTGTGACTTGTTGATTACATATAATGAGCACTTACTTTATTGATCTCAGCAGGCCAGTGTTGCCCAAGTTTGGGTTCTCCTGTACCCGAGAAACATCATTTGGAGTATTCTGCTTTTAAATTTGTTGCTGTGTCAAATATCTGCACTATAGCTATATCTTTTCATCTATAATCTTTAGGTCTGAGTTCCAGGATTCGGTAAAAAGCACAGCTTAAAAGCATTAGGCAGCAATCTAAATCTGTAAAATTAAATGTTTTAAAGGGTCGATCAGTGATGTAATTTCTTTCTTAAAATTTGGGTCACATGATGCAGTGTAGTATCTCATGAATTCAAATCCAGATCCCAATGAGCTGTGGAAGTGTATTCAAATCAAAAATACCACTTCAAGAACCACTTCTGCTTCTTTTGTCACTACAGTTTTTGGACTTCTTGTCTCTGCAGCCATTGCAGCATATGATCAGAGTTTTGGCAGGACCAGGAAGAACAACTGTCCACGCAAGGCTACATTAACACGGACGTCTAAATTTCAGCGTTTAGCTGCATTTAGAAGACTTTTCTAAAAACAGCTGGACTCACACAAAGCAAAGTAATCATGTTATTCAGACAATAGAATTAGCAATGTTTAGATGCAGACAGTTTAGCTGCGTTTAGGAAAAGAAGGAAAGTGCTGCATCCAGGGTCGACTATATACAGCTATTGCGTTTAGCTGCAGATAGCTGCAGTATGTTTATCAGCAGAAAATTACACAATTCCCCTATTCTTCGTGAAATGTTGGTATTCCTTCTCATGTTGATTCTTATACAGCTTCATTTTGATATTCATTCTTTGCAGATATGGTTTAACAACAGTTAGTAAGCTGTCAAAGGTGGACACTGACCTTCTGGTAAGGTTGTAAAATTTATCAGGATAGATTCTGATTTCCTCATACATCAGGACAAAATATCCCTAGTTAGCTGCTGGGATGGTAGGGGGATGTACGCATCTTTGCTTTATTTGCCTCTCTGTGCCTGTTCACATAGAAGACAACTTGTAAAAGCGGACACAGGAGGGCGCACATGCCAAGTTAACACCAGAATGTGGTGAAGGCGCATTCTGTGCACATTTCCCACACTGCAGGTGACCGCACCTGCATGCAGGTGTCAATTAATTGTTAATGGCACCCCAAATGCATATTTGTGGGCACCAAATCGCATGGTACCGCACTACCATGCAGTTTGGTGTGGTGTGTTTTTAAAAGTAGTGCCTGCTTGTCAGCCAGCTCTCAATCATCTTCTCTCCATCAAGCACACAGTGCTAAGCACCAGCTTTGCTCTGCACTCCATTTCAACTACACAGCCCTATCTCCTTGCTCAGAAAACTACCAACAAAGTGGAATAGGAGGTACCTGGGGTAAACCTTCCCCCCCAAGAACTGTGTATTAAGAAAAAAAAAACAGCAGCTATCTGCAGGAATTATTTCAACTTTATCCAGTTCAGATTACTAGTGTTGAGCTGTTGTCAGATACAAACGTCCATGTGAATGTAGAATGTAAACAGGTAACTGCTGTTCAGACCACTTGCATCCACAAGTGGAAATCTGTTTCAATGGATGAGTTTGGTTTTTAAATGTAAACATTGCCCTGTAAAAATTGATAGTTGGGAAAGTAGTTATTTCCAGTTACGGTAATCCGGTTGTATGCGTCTTCCCTGTAAGGTTTGTCAGTTATTGCTTAAGTATAATCTTTATAGAAGCACACTTGATGTATGTCAAACGTTAATGTAAACATTTAAAAGCATTTAAAACCATGACCTAGTTGTATCAGTGTCTATGGTATGCAGTACATACTTGGGAGACACTTCTCTGGAGTGTTGTTTCAATACACAGGTGGACACTATCCTGGTTTTCAGAAACTGTTTACGTAATGAAGAGTTCCAATCCGTGCTGAAGCAGTACCGGTGGGCTGTGAATATGGAATGCCTCTGTGTGACAGTACTGCCCCATGGTTTCAAAAGGTACCTAAATAAACAAGTATATAAATGCTTTTTGATCAGTTTTCTATTCTATTTGTTCTATTCAGCTGAGTTATATAAATTGCAAGGATTTTTAGCAAACCTCATTAGAGATTCTTCCCTACTTCTTGTTTGTAGTTACTAAGACAGGCCATTGCAGAAACTCCAGCCATTGTATTTTTTGTTGTGGATAGACTGGGGAACTGTTAGAAAACGGTCAGATTTTTTTTTTTTTTTATTGCCCTGTGCCGCTCTTTGGTAGATTTCCCTTTACTTCAGGAATAGTTCCACCTTTGAAAGTTTTCATTGATAACAAATGTCTCTACAAGTGTCTCCCTCTACTCATGTGCTAGGGACAACCATAACATTTTATATTTTCCCTCACCGATGTCTGCACCTGTGATTGTGGTCACCAGGACAGAGATTGAGGTTGGAGCACACCAGAAGGGACAAAGACAGCAATAAAACCATGATAGAGGTTTTAACTCCTCACCACCAAATCTAGAATAAAAGCAACATGACTAGAGTTCTTCTTTAACCACTTAAGCTCCGGAAAATGTTACCTCCTTCATGACCAGGTTATTTTTTGCTATTTAGCACTCTGCTAAGTTAACCAGCAATTGCTTGGTCATGCAACGCTGTACCCAAACAAAATTTATAGAATTTTTTTTCTAACAAATAGAGCTTTCTTTTGGTGGTTTTTACTTTCTGCTTTAAAACATTCTATAAAAAATAAAATCTAATTTCATAAATTTAGGCCAAAATGTATTCTGCTACATGCCTTTGGTAAAAAAAAATCCCAGTAAGTGTATATTAATTGGTTTGCGGGAAAGTTATAGTGCCTACAAACTATGGGATGTGCACTGGAACTTTTATTTATTTATTTTTTTATACTAGTTATGCCAATGATCTGTAACTTTTAGCGGGGCTGTGATAGCGTGGCGGCAATCTGACATGCACTGACTAAAATGTCAATGTAATTATGACACTAGCTGGGAAGGGGTTAACATCTAGGGGCAATTAAGGGGTTGTGTGCCTTGCAAGTGTTAATGTGTTTACTGTGTGCTACTTTGAACTACAAATCGATTTATTTATTTTCCCTACTTAGCAGGGAAAAGGAACAAAGCAATCACTCCTTCTGTATAGAGCTCTGTGTATTTTAACCACCCCCAGAACAGGCAGTAATGTAGAGATATGTCACGGTGCCTGTAGCTGCCCCCCCGCTGCAGTAAAACTACTGTGGTGGGTCAGCAAGTAGTTAAACTAACTGGGAGAGTTATAATATAAAAAATACACTGAGGTCTTGTAAACCCCCTGTATTGGCAGAATATCGCCAGTGAAAGGATCACTGGCATAAACCTCAATGCAATTTTGGGGATGCTGGAAATGGTTTCCAAAACTCTGTGTAGATAATAGTGAAGAGAGTATCTTTGCTTACAATGCTAAGTTGTGTGTCTTTTAATTGTTAATTCCTCACACTCTGTACAATTATTATGTAGGTTGTACGTTTTTAGACAATTTGAGCGTTTTGCCCACTGTAAAGCTGGCAATACTTGGATCAAAATTTAGTTGCTTCCCGTTGAACTGGATTAATTTTGATGCATCTATGGCCATTCCCGTTCTTGAGAAGTCAATCTACCAATCAGCATCTCTTCAATGGTCCTGCTGGAATATTTCCTTTTGATCAGCACTTGAAGCCAAGTGTGGAACAGTGTATTGTGATGGTGAGAGAGTTCAACTGTCAGAATGCAACGACACAGCAGGAAGATTCCCGTATCCGCATCAAAATGTGTGAATGGGGAAGTTGGGTGAATTTTTTTTTTGTGTTCAACTTTCTGGCTGAACGAGAAAAGACTGACCCATGTATGGCCTGCTTTAGCGTAGACCCCTTTAATGTCTTTCTCCAAGGAAGATGATCTGGTATTTTGGAAGAAGAGCTAAGTAGATTACGTAAACATATTTAAATAAGTTGAATGTTTTTGTTCCTTATACCTGTAAATGGAAAAATTGGAGAAAGGAGGAAGATTTGTGTTTCTGGCTACAAAGAAACAGAGATAACATTTTTGTAACACAAATTCGCTAACAACTTTTACATTTTTCTGCATGTATTTTCAGACACGTACTCCTCACTAAAGGCTCATTTGGTGTGTGCATGTTTTTATGCATCCTGATCACATTATTCTAATCAGCAAAACATTCTCATTTGTTTGCCAACAGCGAGGACTCCATTGAGCAATGCAAAGATGTGACACTGTGTGGCTTCACTGAACAGGTGTTGAAGTAAGTTACATAGTCTTTGAGTTATTTCATAAACTCTAATGACGCCATGATTGATAAGTTTTATTCTTGTAGGTATGTGTCAGAGAGGGGTACTGACCGACTGCTGGACCATGTTGAGAAGGTAAATGAAAGGTTCAAGGTACCAGAAGACCCAGACAAAGTCATGAGTAGCCAAGCATTATCTCAGGGTCTGCTCACAACATTTCCAAAACAAAGGTAAGCTTTATGCAGTCACTGCTGGCCAAATTAGATGAGTATAAGTACATATGTGTATGTGTGTATATATACTATATTACAGGACACCTGCCTTTACACGCACATGAACTTTAATGGCATCCCAGTCTCAGTGTGTAGGGTTCAATATTGAGTTGTCCTACCCTTTGCACCTATAATAGCTTCAACTCTTCTGGGAAGGCTGTCCACAAGTTTTAGGAGTGTGTTTATGGGAATGTTTGACCATTCTTCTAAAAGTGCATTTGTGAGGTCAGACAAGAAGGCCTGGCTTGCAGTCTCCGCTCTAATTCATCCCAAAGGTGTTTTATCAAGTTGAGGTCAGGACTCTGCAGGCCAGTCAAGTTCCTCCACCCCAAACTCGCTCTTCCATGTCTTTATGGACCTTGCTTTGTGCATTGGTGTGCAGTCATGTTGGAACAAGAAGGGGCCATCCCCAAACTGTTCCCACAAAGTAGGGAGCATGAAATTGTCCACAATGTCTTGGTATGCTGACGCCTTAAGAGTTCCCTTCACTGGAACGAAGGGGCCGAGCCCAACCCCTGAAAAACAACCCCACACCATAATCCTCTTCCACCAAACTTTACACTTGGCACAATGCAGTCAGGCAAGTATCGTTCTCCTGGCAACCACCAAACCCAGACAAGTCCATCGGATTGCCAGACGGAGAAGTGTGATTGGTCACTCCAGAGCACGCGTCTCCATTGCTCTAGAGTACAGTGGCGACATGCTTTACACCACTGCATCTGATGCTTTGCACTGCACTTGGTGATGTAAGGCTTGGATGCAGCTGCTCGACCATGGAAATCCATTTCATGAAGCTCTCTACGCACTCTTGTTTGCTAATCTGAAGGCCACACGAATTTTGGAGGTCTTTAGCTATTGACTCTGCAGATAGTTGGCAACTCTGCTGTACACAAGCTGACAAATAGGAAGTGTGTGTGTGATATGAAGGGGACACAGGAGAGACTGGGAAGGGGGGCTTAGGAGACACTGTGGGATGGGGGACACAGGAGATTCTGTGGGAGGGGGGACACAGGAGATTCTGTGGGAGGGGCGACACAGGAGAGTCTGTGGGGGAGGGTGGGTGGCTTAGGAGACATCGTGGGTGGGGGGTCACAGGAGACTCTGTGGCAGAGGAGACACAGGAGACTGTGGGAGGGGGAGCTTTTGGAGACTCTGTGAGAGGGGGGACACAGGAGACTCTGTGGGAGGGGGGACACAGGAGACTCTGTGGGAGGGGGGACACAGGAGACTCTGTGGGAGGGGGGACACAGGAGACTCTGTGGGAGGGGGGACACAGGAGACTCTGTGGGAGGGGGGACACAGGGGACTCTGTGAGAGGGGGGACACAGGACTCTCTGTGAGAGGGGAGACACAGGAGTCTCTGTGAGATGGGGGACACAGGAGACTCCGTGAGAGGGGGGACACAGGAGATTCTGTGGGAGAGGCAACGCAGGAAACTCTGTGGGGGAGGGGTGGGTGGCTTAGGAGACGTCGTGGGTGGGGGGGTCACAGGAGACTCTGTGGCAGAGGGGACACAGGGGACTCTGTGAGAGGGGGGACAGAGGACACTGCATTGGGGGGTGCAGGACACTACAGTGGGGGTGATGTAAAGGTTGACAGGAAACTACTGTGGGGGGTGATTTTTTATTTTTTTATTTTTTTTACGGGCGCCGCCTAGTAACACCCCCCCCCCCCATTCCCAGGGGATCTTCGCTTTACTCCATGTTGTCCAGGTAGACCTCAACCTCTGAAAGGGTTGCCTACCCCTCATGTAAAACCTTTGTCCCATAAGGAAGAAAACTGCTTGCTGTAATTGCTTATAAAGTGTGAGCTGGAGTTTGGCTTCAATTTGTTTAGTGTATCTAAATCTGCTACTGCATCTAAAACCCCTCCCCCCAGACTGAAAATGCTGCAGTTCGAAGGTGTCTCTGTTGCTCTTTCATCCAGAGTGGAGGTATGCTAATATAGGAGATATGTTACTAGCTGAATTACCAGGTAAAAACAGAGGGAAAAAAGCCTTAAAAAAAAAGAGAGAACGAATGCAGCCACTACATCCAATGATTGATGATGAAGCTGCGATATATATTACATCTTTGGTTTTCGTTTTAAACCATTATATGTGCAGATATAAGACAGATCGCCCATGGAATGGTAACAGATGATTCAGGTACCCATTGGGGGAGTTACAGAGATGGCTATTTGTAGTTGGATGGATTTAACGACGGTCTCCAAAAAAGAGCAGGACATATAGCGTAGGAGTTGGTTTAATTTGATAAAGACTGGGTATGCAAAACCTGCACAGTGTGTCCCCAGGGATAAGGGTAGGGGGAGTACAGATGGTAAGGAAGGAAAAGGAGAAGTAGATGAAGGTTAATTAGTTGGGAGGAAGAGGGGACTAGACCCCCTTATCAGGATTTAATATATAATCTAAAGTATTTTTTTACAAAGTCAGTGCAAGCAGCGCATGCTTATACTGTTGTAAAACTGTTAAATGACCTGAGTGGCCTTCTTTCTGTTCATTTCAGGTGGCGCAGTGTCCGTGTATTCATTTCCTCCACGTTTCGCGACATGCACTCAGAAAGAGACCTCTTGATTGGGCAGGTGATGCCACAGCTTCGTCTCCGGGCTGCTTCTCACTTCCTGTCCTTGGAGGAAGTTGATTTGCGCTGGGGAATTACAGAAGAGGAGACTAGGAAAGACAGGTTAGATCACTACAAAATAAAGGCAAAGACAGTATATAATATAGCAGCTTTTTAGAAAATGTTAACCCTAATAAAATGAACATCAAGTTCTCTGATTTAATCTTTTTATGTATGGATATAGGCAGTTGTCCCTGTGCCTTTCTGAAGTTGTTCGGAGTCAAATCTTTATTGGCATCCTAGGAGAGAGATATGGACATACTCCAAAAACGTATTCAGTGCCTCACCTTCCTGAGTTTGAATGGGTAAGTACAAATACTGTATCTATGAAAACACATTTTTTTCTGTATTGCAAAAATTATATGGTATATGAAAAAATAGGTGTTCCACCCATGTTACAGTTTCAGATTAAGGAGTGTTGGTGAAAATGAAAATGCTATTGTATGAATCCCAAAATACAGTCTCTGTTGCCACTCCAGGTCGTGATGGCTATGATGTCTCTGGCAGTTTTTTTTCTGTAGCAGCAAGTGGCGTCTGCATTGGAATTTTAGTGTACTTTTAAAGCCATAAAGGAAGCATGTATAATAAAATGCTTCAGGACAAAAGGGTGATATGATGTAATGTGGGTAACGCCACTTGTATTAGTGTTTCAAAAAGGTTTCAGTATTCCCCAGAAATAATTATCACTCTGCCTACTGTTCTGTTTCTATAAAAATCTTGACATATAGTATTTATCTTCTCAGGTCCATACATATCCAGCTGGACGATCCATAACCGAGTTGGAGGCCATTCAGTTTTTGCAGGGTTGTAGCACCAAGAAACATGGACACCCAAAGGCCTTCTTCTACTTCAGGAATCCAGATGTTGTTGGGTAAAAGAAATCACACTGAAGGAGTTGCTGAGGGGATTTACATTAGTGTTTTAGTAAGCTGTAGTGTGTGTTGTCTTGAAAATTAATGGAGGACACACAAAAACTGGTATAATCTTGCCATTCATTAAAATCTAGTCTCCACTGTACATTAACATGAAGCAAGAGGCCACACAGAATACTACTATGAATAATCTTCAAATCCAGAATTTCATATAGGCCATAGCAAAACAGATTGGGCTACAAGACTTGCAGAGAATATATAGCCATTGAAGTTGCTGTACAGTAGGGTGGCATACCTTCTTAGCCAACTTTCCTTTATATAACCTTTATCATTTCTAATTGCCCATTCTTTTCGTTATTTTGTTTATTGTTAATTCCAGCATACACTGTACTCTGTTCTTGTCATTTAGCTCTATTCCTAGTCATTGGCTCCCAGACTTTGCCGCAGAGTCTCAAGAAGCTGCCAAACATGTGAAGGACTTGAAGAACAGAGTAACCAAACACCCAGCTGTCAGGAGCTACTTGTAAGTTTTAATGTTAGGCAAGGAATGCAGATTATAATTTGTAGGCTTCACTTACTTATTGTTTTCTTGGTATTTATCAGATACTCTTGCCAGTGGGGAGGTGAACATAATGGGAAACCACACATAACTGCGTTAGATGATTTTGCATCTAGAGTATTAGAAGATATCTGGCAAGTAATTGAGAGAGACTTTATTAAGGTACGTATTCAACTGTAATAAAGGGAATTCTCAAAATAAAGCTATCCATAGATGGGTAGGATTTTGAGCAAAAATTCCTAGGAAAAGAAGGTTCTAAAAAGAGTGTGTTTTTGACTTTCTAATCATTAGGGGGCCAAATTGACGTTTGCAAAATGACATTTGAATGTTTTTTGGGCAGCTTAAAGTGATACTAAAGGTTTAGCTTTAAAACAAAAACCCAAACATGTCATATTTACCGGCTCTATGCAATAGTTTTGCACAGAGCAGCCCCGACCATCCTTTTCTGCCCCCCCGATGGCACGCCTGGCCACTTGCTATGGGAACACACGTGTGCTCCCTCTTGAGCCCTGCTTTGTGTGTCTAGAAGCACATAGATCGCGGCTCAGCATTAGCCCCCCCCACTCCCTCCTCATTGGCTGTGCGGGAGCCAGTGTGCTGTGTCTCAACCAATGAGGAGGAAGAGACACAGGAGGGCTGCTGCTCTTGTGCTCATCGCTGTATCGAGCTCTGGTAAGTATTAGGGGGGCTGAGGGGGGAGCTGCCACTTGAAGGTTTTTTGACTTTCATGCATAGAATATATAAAGGTTGAAACCTTCAGCCTTTAGAACCACTTTAAGCCAGACACTGCTGTGTGACTTGTGTAGACCCTCTGTTAAATCTTTTGACATTCTTCTTGCAAGCAATGATATATATACAGTATCTCACAGAAGTGAGTACACCCCTCACATTTTTGTAAATATTTTATTCTATCTTTTCATGTGACAACACTGAAGAAATGACACTTTGCTACAATGTAAAGTAGTGAGTGTACAGCTTGTATAACAGTGTAAATTTGCTGTCCCCTCAAAATAACTAACACACAGCCATTAATGTCTAAACCGCTGGCACAAAAGTGAGTACACCCCTAAGTGAAAATGTCCAAATTGGGCCCAAAGTGTCAATATTTTGTGTGGTCACCATTATTTTTCAGCACTGCCTTAACCCTCTTGGGCATGGATTCACCAGAGCTTCACAGGTTGCCATTGGAGTCCTCTTCCATGATGACATCATGGAGCTAGTGGATGTTAGAGACCTTGCGCTCCTCCACCTTCCATATAAGGATGCCCCACAGATGCTCAATAGGGTTTAGGTCTAGAGACATGCTTGGCCAGTCCATCACATTTACCCTCAGCTTCTTTAGCAAGGCAGTGGTCATCTTGGAGATGTGTGGGGTCGTTATCATGTTGGAATACTGCCCTGCAGCCCAGTCTCTGAAGGGAGGGGATCATGTGCTGCTTCACTATATCACAGTACATGTTGGCATTCATGGTTCCCTCAATGAACTGTAGCTGCCCAGTGCCAGCAGCACTCATGCAGCCCCAGACCATGACACTCCCACCACCATGCTTGACTGTAGGCAAGACACACTTGTCTTTGTACTCCTCACCTGGTTGCCGCCACACACGCTTGACACCACCTGAACCAGATAAGTTTATCTTGGTCTCATCAGACCACAGGGACATGGTTCCAGTAATCCATATCCTTAGTCTGCTTGTCTTCAGCAAACTGTTTGTGGGCTTTCTTGTGCATCATCTTTAGAAGAGGTTTCACTTAGGGGTGTACTCACTTTTGTTGCCAGCGGCTTAGACATTAATGGCTGTGTGTTGAGTTATTTTGAGGGGACAGCAAATTTACACTGTTATACAAGCTGTACGCTCACTACTTTACATTGTAGCAAAATGTAATTTCTTCAGTATTGTCACATGAAAAGATAGAATAAAATATTTACAAAAATGTGAGGGGTATGCACACTTCTGTGAGGTACTGTATATACATACATGAAAGAAGCATATATTCTACACTGCTCAAAAAATTAAAGGAACACTTTTTAATCAGAGTATAGCATCAAGTCAATTAAACTCCTGGGATATTGATCTGGCCAGTTAAGTAGCAGAGGTGGTTGTTAATCAGTTTCAGCTGCTTTGCAACAGCTGCACTAGTTGGGCAACAATAAGACGACCCCCAAAACAGGAATGGTTTTACAGGTGGAGGCCACAGGCATTTTTTTCCCTACTCATCTTTTCTGACTCTTTTTCACTAGTTTTGCATTTGGCTAGGGTCAGTGCCACTACTGGTAGCATGAGGTGATACCTGGACCCTACAGAGATTGCACAGGCAGTCCAACTCCTCCAGGATGGCAAATCAATACATGCCATTGCCAGAAGGTTTGCTGTGTCTCCCAGCACAGTTTCAAGAGCATGGAGGAGATTCCAGGAGACAGGCAGTTACTCTAGGAGAGCTGGACAGGACCGTAGAAGGTCCTTAACCCATCAGCAGGACTGGTATCTGCTCCTTTGTGCAAGGAGGAACAGGATGAGCACTGCCAGAGCCCTACAAAATGACCTCCAGCAGGCCACTGGTGTTAATGTCTCTGACCATACATCCAGAAACCGACTTCATGAGGATGACCTGAGGGCCAACGCTCTCAAGTGGGGCCCACTTGAGAGCGTCAGCCCTCAGGTCATCCTCATGAAGTCGGCCTGTGCTCACTGCCTGGCACCATAAAGCTCGATTGGCATTTGCCATTGAACACCAGAACTGGCAGGTCCGCCACTGGTGCCCTGTGCTTTCTCACAGATGAGAGCAGGTTCACCCTAAGCACATGTGACAAACGTGAAAGGGTCTGGAGAAGCCATGCAGAACGTTATACTGCCTATAACATCATTCAGCATCACTGTTTTGGATCGTGGGTCAGTGATGGTCTTGGGGAGGCATATCTATGGAGGGACGCACAGACCTCTACAGACTAGACAATGGCACCCTGACTGCCATTAGGTATTGGGTATCAGTGAGGTATCAGTATGAAATCCTTGGACCCATTGTCAGACCCTACGCTGGTGCAGAGGGTCCTGGGTTCCTCCTGGTGCACGACAATGCCCGGCCTCATGTGGCGAGAGTATGCAGGCAGTTCCTGGAGGATGAAGGAATTGTTACCCTTGAATGGCCCCCATAGTCACCTGACCTAAATCCAATGGAACACCTCTGGGATATCATGTTTCAGTCCATCCGACGCCACCAGGTTGCACCTCAGACTGTCCAGGAGCTCATTGATGCCCTGGTCCAGATCTGTGAGGAAATACCTCAGGACACCATCTGTCTTCTAAATAGGAGCATGCCTGACGTTGTCAGGATGCATACAGGCACGTGGTGGCCATACAAACTACTGGGTACCATTTTGAGTTGCTGCAATGAAATTTCAGCAAAATGGACTAGCCTGCTGCATCATTTTTTCACTTTGATTTTTGGATGTCTTTGAATTCAGTCCTCTGTAGGTTGATAGTTTTAATTTTCATCAAACGATGGGCATCCTTATGTTCCTAACACCATTACCCAGTCCATATCAGTATGGAGATTTTTTTCTCCATTGAGATCTGATGTGTTTTCAAAGCGTTCCTTTAATTTTTTTTTAACAGTGTATTTATGTAGCTTAGTATTATAACAGATTGCAGATAGCTAGCAGTTTGCATATCTTTCTAGTCCAGTTGGGGGAGGGGCCTATTACATTGCGTATGTGTTATGCATATTGTCAAAGGGCACCCTTATTGAGTCCTTTAGCAAGGCTACAACTGAAAAGTACTGAGTTTTCTTTGCTACTTCAGCGTAAATTCGAAAACATTGTGCTAATATGATTATCCATACTTTCCCAATTCTAATGACCTAATTTTTTTTAAATGGTAATGTGTAGCAGCATTTTTAAAGAACATACCAAACTTGGACACAATCCAGAAACTGGACATCACATGTGTGTCTTCAGTGCAAAGTACTGGCATGGTTTTAAAATGTGAGCAATTATTTTAATGCCCATGTCTGTCAACATGTCTATAATCTGAGAAAGATGGATGTTCTGCATCCAGACTAAACAAGCGTATCATATATTTATAGTAATTTAAACCCAGATTTCACATCCTGCGTGCCATTGGGCCACAAGACATGGCGAAATGAACAGCTCATCTACTGAATATAAGACCGTATATGCAACCTTTAGCTCTTCATATAAAGTGTGCTAATATGGCTTATAAATAGTTTTTATATGACAACTTTAATTGTTCTTACCATTTGCCTTGTGAACCATCCATCATTTTATTTTTATTCTTTGTTGTTTTAAAAGGAGTCAGGGGCATCTGAAGATGAAGACCAGCTTGCACAGGAGGGCTTCCAGGAGTGGCATGAGCAGCGTTCCTTTGCTAGAAGCAAATTGGTGACAAATGTGTGTGCACAGATTCTGGAGAAGAAGCGTACTTCCTCAACAAATGGACAGTTGTTCCTGGTGGTTGGGGAGCCCAGCCAAGGGAAGACTGTCTTCATGGTATGGAATTTTTCAGTTATTAAGCGATCTAATCATACACCGTTGTGTATATATTTAGGTTTAGTGGGTTGTATCACATTCCTATAAATTTACTAAGGAACATATCTACTGGGTGGTATTCTTATTTTCTAGTTATAGGCAGCATGCTCTTTTACTTGCCCCAATGTGCATGTTGTAGCAGGACTCACTTATGTAACTAGTGGACAGCAATTACATTAAAGAAAATATTGTTAAAGTGTAGTTCCACTCACCTGTCAAAAAATAAAAGTCAGCAGCTACAAAAACTGTAGCTGCTGACTTTTAAAAAAAAAGCCAACTGTCCCTCGGTCCCGTGGTGTGTCCCCCGCAGCCCGTTTCACTGGCTGTCCTGAATTCCAGGAGGCTGACATCTTCAGTGTGGGCACCCGGCTGTGACAGCTTGTGGCTTCACAGCCGGGTACCCACTGTGCATGCGCAAGTAGCGCTGTGCTTCGTGAATGGTCCTGTAGTCTTCTGGGACCTGTCATGTGTCCCAAAAGACTACAGGAAGGGAGGGAGGGAGGACACCTTCCGATTTCTGATTGCCTAGGCGATCGGACCGGAAATGGGAGCGGATACCTGTCAAATTCGGGTACCCGCTCCCCCCCCCCCCCCCAAAGGTGCCAATCCTTAATGGGGAGCGGGGGAACAGTCCTTAAAGCGGAACTTCCCCTTTTGGGTGGAGCTCCGCTATAAGGCCACTTTTTTTAATAACAGTTGAACTCCACTTGGATCCAGTAATATGTTACATAGTTAGTCTGGATGAAAAAAAGACAAAAGTCCATCCAGTTCAACCATTAAGAAAAAAGTTATAATCCTACACAGTTGATTCAGAGGAAGGCAAGCAACCCAGCAAAGCATGATCCAATTTGCTCCTGCAGGGGAATAAATTCCTTCCTGATCCCCCGAGAGGCAATCGGATATTCCCTGGATCAACTTTACCTCTAAAGAATAACCAGTTATATTCTGTGTATCCAAGAAATAATCCAGGCCTTTTTTAAAGCAATCCACTGAGCTGGCCAGAACCAGCTCTTGAGGGAGTTTTTTCCACATTTTCACAGCTCTTACTGTGAAGAAACCTTTCTGTGTTTGGACATTACATTTCTTTTCCTTCAGATGTAAAGAGTGCCCCCTTGTCCTCTGTGATGACCTCAGGGTGAATAGCTCTACACCGAGTTCACTATATGAACCACTGATGTATTTATACATGTTGATCATATCCCCCCTTAATCTCCTCTTCTCAAGAAAGAATAAATTCAGTTCCTCTAATCTTTCCTCGTAGCTGAGCTCCTCCATGCCTCTTATCAGTTTAGTTGCCCTTCTTTGTACTTTCTCCAGTTCCCCAATGTTCTTTTTGTGAATTGATGCCCAAAACTGAACTACATATTCCAGATGAGGTGTTACTAATGATTTGTACCGGGGTAATATGATATCTCTCTCTCTGGAGTCTATACCTTGTTTAATACAAGAGAGGATTTTGCTCACTTTAGAAACTGCATTGCATGCCATTATTAAGCTTATGATCTACCAGAACTCTGAGATCCTTCTCCACCATTGATTTCCCCAGTTGTACCCCCCTAGTATGTATGATACATGCATATTCTTAGCCCCCCAAGTGCATAACCTTACATTTATCAACATTAAACCTCATTTGCCACATAGTTGCCCAATTAAACAGTGCATTGAGGTCAGCTTGTAAATTGGAGACATCCTGTAAGGACGTTATTCCACTGCACAGCTTGGTGTCATCTGCAAAGACTGAAATGGTATTTTTAATCCCAGACCCTATATCGTTTATAAATATATTAAAAAGTAAGGGTCCCAACACTGAACCTTGGGGTACACCACTGACAACCCTAGACCATTCAGCGTATGAATCATTAACCACTACTCTCTGAATACCATCTTTTAGCCAGTGTAACCAGCATCAATTTGTGGCACGCATAGCAGGACATTTTACTCCCAGTTAACATACTAATAATGTAATGATGCATTCGTAGTATGCACCACAGTCATAAATTCCTTAAAGTGGTTGTAAAGGCTCAAGGTTTGTTACCTTCATGCATTCTATGCATGAAAGTAAAAAACCTTCTTTGTGCAGCAGTGCCCCCAGCCCCCCTAATACTTACCTGAGCCCCATCGCTATCCATCAATGTGCACAACAGCCTCAGCTGTCCCGGGTCTCTGCCTCCTCATTGGCTGAGACGCAAGCTGGAGCCATTAGCTCCTGCTGCTGTCAATCACAGCTAGTCAGCCAATGAGGAGAGAGGGGGTGGGGCCAAGCCTCGGCTCCGTGTGTGAATGGACTCACAGAGCAGCAACTTGGGAACACACCTGCTCGGGTGCCCCGATAACAAGCTGCTTGCTGTGGGGGCACCCAACAGAGAGGAGCCTGGAGAGCCTGTGGGGGACCCAAGAAGAGGAGGATCCAGGCTGCTGTGTGCAAAACCACTGCACACAGTACGTAAGTATAACATGTTTGTCATTTAAAAAAAAAAAATGAACCTTTAGAATTGCTTTAATGTCTCTTGCAGGCTGACCTTGTGAAGGAATTGAGACTAGCAGCTTCATCCTCGGTGATCCATTATTTTACGGAGGCAACTACTAGAGCAAAAGAAGCGGAGTCGATGCTAAACTGTGTCTGCAAGCAACTGAACCAGAGACTGCAGAGAAGGAACTGTAACCCTGCATCATACAGGTTGGGGTGTCCTTTTACATTCGATTGTTCCCATTTGAAAACAGCCTTACAAAGTTTTATGTCAGCCTAAATTATGCATAGCTATGATATCTTCCAAAATGTGTTTTCTTTTGCCAGAGCAGTTATAAGCAGTTTTCTTTTAAAACCAGTAAACAAAAGGGTAATAAACAGCTTATGTGGAACAATGTTTTTACACAGGTCCCTTCTTGCTGAGTTCCAAGCTCTCCTACAGTTAACATCTCGCTCACTGAAGCGGAGTGACACATTTACCTTATTAATAGATGGGGCTGATGTGCTGTGTGGACATGCAGGTGAATTTACATCTGATTGGATCCCTGACTTACTTCCTCAGGTATGCAATTCTTCTTACTGCTCCCATTAATTAAACTGTTTATACCAGACTGTGCATATGCATTTCATCCACAGCAATGTTAGTGATTTGGAGCAACATATACTTAATTTGTGGGATTGTCTTTTAAGTTAAATTAAAGGTTAAGTTCACCTTTGGAACAGGTTGCATGTTACACCCGTATTCCCCACCCACTCCCCCTCACCCGTGAGCCCTTTCTCCCCTGTGACAGCAGGCACATCATTCAGTCATTCAATCATTCATTCACAGTTACCTGTGAATGAATAGACTACCGCTGTGGTAGACAGACTTGTAGTTCTTAATGAACCACAAGGGCGTTGATCACCTTACTTCTAGTCCATTCACAAGTCCTCCAACTTTCATACAGAGTTGTGGGCAGAAATCTGGAGAACGTGTCTGCATGAGCCTGACATTACACCTCTGATCCATTGATTGTGGGTGCAATGCTTTGCAGGCTTCTTGCAGGAAGAAAAATAAATAAATGCACATTTTTTTTTTTCTGCAAAAATATGTGCATTTATTATATTTTCCTTCAAGGTAACCTTATCCTTTAAACATAACAATATTGTAAGTTAATTGTTTCATTTTTACTTGTAGTAACAGACACAGACCCCTCTGTATGCATGGGCTACATTCATATGCCAGCTAGAAAGGGGATATAAGTTGCAAGTGGTGTCACCAGTGCAGCAGTCCAGATGGGCTCGGGCAGATACAGATCTGTCAGAATCAATTATTCTCAGTGATACATAGGGCAGCCTGTAGATCGTGTAGGTGTAAGCTTGGTAACAATTTTTGATATCTGGTGTTTTTCAAATATTTGTGGCCTGATGTAAGAACTTTTAGTTATAGGACTTTGAATGAAAATTCATTTTACATATATGAAAAATATGCAGCAGATCTAAGAATATCAAAGGAGCATGTTTTTTTTTTGTCGGTTTTATTTGTTTTTTTTCAGATTAGCTTCTATCAAGTGCATGTAACATACTATTGTTTTAAAGACAAGCTGCTTACCTTTTCTATCTACAGAGAGTTAACTTAGTTCTTAGTGTGACAGAAGGCTCCTCTCTCTGCTCTTCCCTGAGGAAGCGGAAGGACACTGTAACAGTTACTCTAGGGAGGCTGGAACCAAGTGAGCGGGCTGAATTGGTAAGAGGGAAACTAGCTTTGTATGGTAAAAAGCTGGAAGAGTCTGCATTCAATAATCAGGTATGATGACCATATGTGTGTACTGATGAGTACAAATGTGTTTAATGTTTATGTATTGCAACCCCATGCAGATTATATGTACATTTTATGCAAAGAATGCCCCATATATACTGCATGGTTGGAAAATATCTGCTGAGGTCTACTGTGACCAATACATATTACCATCAATGCCTCTGGATTTGCACATATTACTTTGTGTATGTGATATCTATTTCATCTAAAGTATTTGGGGTCATTGAACACAGGTACAGTAAAGAAAATGTTTATTGTGCAAGACTGCTAACTTTATCACTTAGTCAGTGTATTTTGAGTTTGCAGAAACAAATATGCCATTTCAAAGGAAACCTGATGCATGCTCTTCTTTTAAACCTTCGTTCAAAACAAGGACAGGGAGAGAGTGCGGCTTCCAAAGGCAAATAAGCTGTAGACTGGAAGTGCACTGCAAGTGCAGTTGCTCTAGATCTGAGTGGAACACACAAGGAAAATAAAAAACAGCATTTTTGTTTGCACATGATTGGATGAAAGAAATCAGCAGAGCTTCGCTTCCTTTCAGAGCTTTCCCCTCGCATCTAAAGCAGCTGCAGTGCACAGCCTATTTACCTTTAGTAAATCAACCCCAATGGTGGTTGCATTCTCTCTCTTCTTGTCTTGATCATTTCAGTGTTCCTGCCATCTGGTGGATATTTTGGAAAGCTGCAACCACCAGTGTGTTTATGGACACTTGTGTGCATCTGGACATTAACCTGTTGGTTGTCAAGAGAGCTGAATGGAAGATATGGAAACTTGCGCACTTACAAGTGTTTGTTTTTAAAAACGTTTGTTACAGTTAATTTTATGCCTGCTCCAGTGCAATGTACAGTAATCCATGGAATGGGTCAGTCAGCTAAGTCTTATTGAAGGAAGTGCAGATATTTAAACATAAGTATTTTAAACTCTTGGGCCCTAAGAAATATTTTCTTGTACTTTCTTGGAGATCTTTTGGATAACAAAATTTGTTCATGCATTGCCAGCATAGACATATTGAACATAAGTATTTAATATTTACTGTATTGCAAAGTAGTCAAACAATTTTTGCACCTCTACTCATCCAGTTGCGCCTCCTGATGATCAAGAAGGGAACACGTGATCCTCTGTATCTAACCATGGCCTGTGAGGAACTACGAACGAGTTCGGTCTTTGAGAAGGTTGGTGAGCTCTGTCTTTTCTTCAAAGGCATTGGTTTTTATTGCTTAGTCATTTCTCGACACACTCTTTTCACTTACTTTTATCAATGTACTTTTACCAATATACTTCCATGTTTCACATGCCTCAGTGCTGCATCACAGTCTCCATATTGGTTAGGCTATAGATACATTTGTCATTTGTAATATATGGATGGTAATTTCAGAAGCCAAGACATGATGATTTATGTTATGTTTGACTACAATTACCCCAGCAGCATTGTACAAAAATGCCTGACAAGCAGTCTTGTGGGCCCCCCTGCTTTTTCATTCTCTAGCAAACATTTGATTGTTACAGTAGGATGGGTTTTATAAAAACGGAGGACTTTGGTTTAATCTGCTACCCCTTTTTGTTTATATTGTAATCCTGTGCAACAATATTATGTTGGCATTCCTCATATAATTCTATTTCCTTGCATAGCTGTCTGATGACATACAGAAGTTGCCAGCAACCCTTCCAATTCTTATTCAGAAGAGACTTGAAATGTTGGAAGAAGAACATGGCGCTAATAATGTTAGCATTGCTCTGACAGCCATCCTCATCTCCCGAAAAGGTAGTTCTGTTGTTGGTGTACTATTCGCTATCATTTGAACTTTTTTTTTTTTTTGCTTCATTTATTTCCTATTTTTTGTTTTTCTTGTGGTTTACTTCAGGACTTTGGGAGAGGGATCTGCTAAGGATTCTGAGCTCTATGCAGCAAATAAGTTCTGTGTACACAGCAAGTTGGGATGAAATGCTAAGAGCAGCCGTTAATGCAAACAATCTTCCTATGGCAACATTTGCTCTGCTTCTCACAGGGCTGAAAAGGTGAGGAGACTAGAGTTTAATTTTCTATCCTTGCCCTGTCTTGTTGCTTGGTCTTCTTTTTTCAATACTTGTTTTATAGCCAGATAATGTATCTCTAGCTTATTTTGTTATGTCTACTATTACAGTGTTCTTGGGTTTTGGAGTCGTAACATGACTAATGAGCCAAGGCTGCATATCTCTAGTTGTCTGTTGCGGGAAGCTGTTGAGAAGCGATACTTTGGAAAATCTGATATTGTCCACACTGTACATCTTCTTATAGCTGGTGGGTGATTGTCACCACTCATTAGTACCCTAATGGTGTGCTTTCACAATAAGGTTCTAATATTAAGCACTTAATGTGTTCTTCTTTTCAGCTCACTTCTGGACAGTCGCTTCTCCTGAAGACCCTGAATCTTCCCCTGCACTTCATGCTGAATGTTTGAGTGAGCTGTCCCATCATCTGGTATGCTAAAGTGTGTGCAAAAAAAATGTTACTGTAATCCATGTTAATATTTATGGAAGTAAGCATGCACTTTGTCTTTCAGCTGTGTGGCATGCAGTTCCATACTTTGGGTAAGCTCCTCGTATGTATTCCTTTCCTGAAGGCACATGCCACCTTAGGACTCTTGCCTCACCTGTGCCAAGTATACAGTAGCTATGGTGAGTTCCTTTTATAAATAAGCTTTTATTCACAATCTCAATTTACTTCTTGTTTTTGAAGAACTGGCATTGCAGTGAAACGTTACATGCAAAAATATATTTTTCTTATCAAACTCTAGTTGTATTCATGTGTTTCCTAATATTTACCAAACCCCATTAGTGGACCAGTTCATGCGGCCAATTACACAGAACTACACAAAGCTGGAAAGCAGTACATAACTAGGTTGCTAGTAAGTAGTAAAGCATCTGGCTGTCTGTCCACAGCAATACATGCAGTGAAAGCAGATTAGTCCCTCTGGTGCTGGATACAAGATACTGGAAAGAGGAATACAACACTGCCATTTTCTTGAATGCTAGTTGATAATATATTTTAAATGATAATGTTGGTTTTATGGCTGTTACATTAGTTCAATGTCTTCAGTTTTTTCCCTGTCCCAGGCCTTGGACCTTTTAAATCTAAATTGCATGAGTATTCACTCTATTAATCAGCAAAAGTCTATGCACTTGGAGGTTTGTGGAGCAGAGCAGGGTGTTGTATGCAGATAAAGAGGGTCAGAGGCAGGATAGTGGATATTTGAGGAGCTGTTGCATTGATGAAGCAGGTGGGTATGACAGCAAAGTGAGGACAGTGAGCTGGGAGGGATGCATTGTGTTTGGGAGCAGGCACAGTGAAAGCAAAAGGTGAGATGTGAGGGAAGCACTATAAGGCAGAGGTAAGGTGGGTGGATGTTGGCAGCTAGGGAGCCTGGTGCGGTGGATGATAGGTGACTTGAGTAGGTGAGTTGAGTGGAAGAGTTGAGTAAGTACAGTTACAATTGGGGGAGAAAGGGGGTGTTGTCCAGGGGGTGAGTTGGATTGCAGTGTGGCAGCATAATGTAAAAGCGGAGTGCTGGATACAAAGACGTTGCCAGGGTGAGGGCAAGGGAGGTGCATGGGAAGTGCTTTGAACAGGTGGGTGAAGTGAGTGGGAGCTGCTGGAGCAGAGGTGGGAGTGAGGGGCTTTGACTGGGAAAGTGGGGTTTAGGTGGTTAGGAGAGATGTGGTATGCACTGTGCTGCTTTTGTGGGAGATACGAGTTCTATGTTTTTATATTTCTCAATAGCCACAAAAAATATAAATCCACACTTTGTGCACCATATACCAGTTATTAAAAAAAAGTAGCATTGACATCATCATTGTGCTCCACCTAGCTTGGGCAAAGAGCAGATCTGTTGGAGGGCCCCAGCAGGTTCATCCACTACAGGCTGCCTGCAGAAAACCACAGGAGGGAGTTGGATACAAGACTAGTCACCTTGCACAAAGAGCAGCTTTCACACTGGATTACTATAGATCTGAATGAAATACACAAAGCACACCAAGATTCAAGTAAGAATACACATGCCTCTTGCATGTGGACTAATGTTGCTCATCATGGAGTTCATCTGAAGCAGTAACACTGTTATTTTCTGCAAGCTACCTGAATAGAGAGGTGCTGACATGATTGTAGAACTGTCTGCACACCTGGATTAAGGAAACCCACAGAAAGTAGCACATTATTGTGTCCCTAGCAATTAAACAGCATTTGGCAGATAGAGCTCTTATCCTGCACTTAAGTAGCACAGTGCACAAAGGAATACCACAGCCGGTAGCATGCTGTGGGATAAGGACAGACTCGTTTTGGATTAGGAGTGAAAAGCACTGGTCCTAGGATTGCTTCCCACTTCTCAGAGCGTGGGACCTCAGCTGTGGCATATGTGCAGAAGAAAGGGGGATCCACAGGAAGCAGTGGAAAGTGAGCCTGAGAACAGTGCATCTGCAGTGTTTGAGAAGGAGACAATCCATGCAGAAGCTGCTGCCTGTGTTAATTGGAATGGATACTGCGCTATGTCAACCATTACATTTTTATACAACATACATATGCACTATGAAGACCCTCATACCTCTGAAAGGCGATCAAAAATCAATTAAAACTGTGCAAAATACACTAATCACAAGTGTATATAAAGAACTGTGAAATATGGTCAAATCAACCATTGGATATCATACAACATACATGTGCACTATGAAGACCCTCATACATTTTGAAAGGCAATCAAAAATGAAAAATTAATCAAATAATATTGTGCAAATTATGCTAACCACAAGTATACATGAAGAACAGTGAAATAGGGTCAAAACAATAAAACAATAACTCCTTGTCCATATAGACATATATTAAAGTCCATATAAAGATAAAGACTCCTCAATCAGTGATAATACTGTAAATCGGTGCTGTGGTTGCAATGTGGATAATCTTCCTTCAAATGGTCACCAAAGTGTTTACCACCACCAAATAATTAAATGGAGGCTTGTCAGAAATGGAGACCCCTTAATTATAGGGGGTCCCAACCAGCATTGTGATATAGAGCACTAGCAGGCTCTCTGTGTCATGCCAGAACAGGGATCTTCCAAACCTCCAACTCAAAATGCAGTGTCAAATGAGATCATGAAAGAAAAAAAATGCCTCTCATAGTGCAATATGTATCAAAAACTTCTTTATTTGCGCAAATGAAATCCTACTTACAAGCTGGGCAGTAGCCCCTAGAGAACGTCTTTTGATGATGAAATGCGTCGGGCTGAGCCTCCCTCTGATGTTATCGCGTTGTCGGCCATCTTGGAAACGGTCTATTTTGAATGCTTTTACCTGTTCTACAGCTTGTAATTAGGATTTCATTTGTGCAAATAAAGAAGTTTTTGATACGTATTGCACTATGAGAGGTATGTTTTTTCTTTCATGTTCTCATTTGACACTGTCTTTTGAGTTGGAGGTTTGGAATATCTCTGTTTCGGGTATGACACGGAGAGCCTGCTAGTGCTCTATATCACAATGCTGGTTGGGACCCCCTATAATTAAGGGGTCTCCATTTCTGGTAAGTCTCCATTTAATTATTTGGTGGTAGTGGTACGCACTCAGCTGACCATTTGAAGGAAGATTATCCACATTGCACCCACAACATCGATTTACAGTATTATCACTGATTGAGGAGTCTTTATCTTTATATGGACTTTAATATATGTCTATATGGACAATATGTTTATTGTTTTGACCCTATTTCACAGTTCTTCATGAATACTTGTGGTTAGCATAATTTGCGCAATATTATTTAACTCATTTTTCATTTTTGTTCGCCTTTCAGAGGTATGAGGGTCTTCATAGTGCATATGTATGTTGTATGATATCCAAAGGTTGATTTGACCATATTTCACAGTTCTTTATGTACACTTGTGATTAGTGTATTTTGCACAGTTTTAATACATTTTTTTTTTATTTTTGATCACCTTTCAGAGGTATGAGGGTCTTCATAGTGCATATGTATGTTGTATAAAATGTAATGGTTCATATAGCGCAGAATCCATTTCAATTAAGTTTTACGAAGAGAAGATATCCTCTTTTATGTTTGTGACACAAGTTGATTAGAGATTTGTGCGGTTTGACCCCATATGCCACCTGTGTTGCCTTTGCTGGTCCACCTTTTAATGTGGCCCAGGATTCAGCAGAGCAGCAGGCGAAAGAAGAGCCAGCACCGTGTTGACCATAGACAGCCCCGGCAGTGACAGGCAGATCTTGGGGCAGATTGTAGAGTGATATGTCTTTCTGTTGCGCTGATTGGGGACCATTTTGCCACCAGATAACTTTTTTTGTATTATATCAGAAACAGAATTAGAGGTGCATTATGTAATTAAGCACAAAATGGGTAGTAAGTAGTGTACCTCTAACAAAAAAAAAAAGAGCTGGATAATGTTGTTAGAAATAATGGTTAAGAAATACTTATTAAAGCACACAGTAGTAACATTTTCCAATAGCTTTGTCTTGTCATTACATTTAAGAAACTGCCATATTAAAGAAGACTTCCTCGCTCTCAGCTGCTCAAGAAGAGATGGAAACTAATGCAATTTCAGAGCCACCTGTGAGGGAATTCAAGACGTTTATTGAGCGATCCTTGCATATTCTTACCCAGAATCCTTCACTGTTTTATCAGTTGGCTTTGAACGAGCCTGATACATCACCAGTGTGCATTCAGGCCCAAGAGATTTTGGCTGACTTCAAGAGTGCTGAATCTGAACTCATCACAGCATGGATCAATAAACCCAACTCCACCAATGTCTGTTCCAGGTCTGACAAATCAAATAATTACACACACACACTCACTCTATATTGCCAAAAGTATTGGGACATCCCTCCAAATCATTGGATTCAGGTGTTCCAATCACCTCCATGTCCACAGGTGTATAACATCAAGCACCTAGGCATTCACACTGCTTCTACACACATTTGTGAAAGTATGGGTCGCTCACTGAATTCAAGCGTGGTACTGTGAAAGGTTGCTACCTTTGCAATAAATCCGTGGACTTTCCTTGCTAGTAAATATTCCTCGGTCAACTGTTAGTGGGATTATAACAAAGTGGAAGCAACTGGAACAACAGCAAATCAGCCACAAAGTGGTAGGCCACATAACATGACAGACCGGGGTCAGCGCATGCTGAAGCGCACAGTGCACAGAAGTCGCCAACTGTCTGCAGAGTCAATAGCTAAAGACCTCCAAACCTTGTGTCCTTCAGGTTAGCACAACAACAGTTCATAGATAGCTTCATGGAATGGGGTTCCATGGCCGAGCAGCTGCATCCAAGCCTTATATCACCAAGTACAATGCAAAGCGTTGGATGTAGTGGTGTAAAGCATGCCGCCACTGGACTCTAGAACAGTGGAGATGTGTTCTCTAGAGCGGTGTTTCTCAACCTTTTTTCTTTCAAGGCACCCTTTAAAATTCTGCACAATCTCAAGGCACCCCAATCTAAAATGTAAAAAACTATTCTACACACATCCAGTACACCCAATGTAAGAGGTGATTTATTCTTCCAAAGCAAATACACCTTTGCACACTGGTACTGACCAGTATTCCAGTGTGTCTCTCATTTTCTCTTCCTCACTCTGCTAATGTAACCCCAGTGCTTACGGAGAGGGGCAGGGGAGGGCCAAACAAGGATGATGTGCGTGCACCCGAAGTCCTCCTTATCAACTGATGATGTTGTTAGGATGCTGGCAGCTAGAAGGTCATAAAAATGTGCAATGAAAACCTGTGGCTTTGTGCACTAAAAGGGAGGATTGATCCACTTGCTGGCTTGTATACAATTTTTGGACATTTTGCCAAGGCACCCCTGAAGAAGCCTGAAAGCACCCCAGGGTGCCTGGGCACCCTGGTTGAGAAAGGCTGCTCTAGAATGATGAATCAATCTTCTCTGTCTGGCAATCCGATGAACATGTCTGGGTTTGGCGGTTGCCAGGAGAACGGTACTTTCCTGACTGCATTGTGCCAAGTGTAAAGTTTTGGTGGAGGGGGGATTATGGTGTGGAGTTGTTTTTCAGGGGTTGGGCTTGGCCCCTTAGTTCCAGTGAAGGGAACTCTTTAGGTGTCAGCATACCAAGACATTTTGGAAAATTTCATGCTCCCAACTTTGTGGGAACAGTTTGGTGATGGCCCTTCCTGTTCCAACATGACTGCACACCAGTGCACAAAGCAAGGCCCATAAAGACATGGATGAGTGAGTTTGGGGTGGAGGACCTTTACTGACCTGCACAGAGTTCTGACCTCAACCCGATGGAACACCTTTGGAATGAATTACAGCAGAGACTGTGAGCCAGGCCTTCTCGTCCGACATCAGTGCCTGACCTCACAAATGCGCTTCTGGAAGAATGATCAAACATTCCCATAGACACACTCCTAAACCTTGTGGACAGCCTTCCCAGAAGAGTTGAAGCCGTTATATCTGCAAAGGGTGGGCCAACTCAATATTGAACCCTACACTAAGACTGGGATGCCATTACATTTCATGTGTGTCTAAAGGCAGGCGTCCCAATACTTTTGGCAATATAGTGTATGTGTATAGAGATTATATTTTTTCATTTTATATTATTTTTATAATCGGATATGTTTGCAAATGTACAAAGTTAAGGCAATTTAGAATGGAGACAAATGAACCTACTTGTATTTGTCTGTGAGAAAACCACTCAAGCGTGATATTGCTGATTTTTTTTTTTTTTTCGTTACATGTTGCTGGCTCTAAACTGTAGAACCTCCATAACAGTATGTGTACACACACCACAACATATGATGTAATACTCACAGGAGCTTATAGCCTAGAGCAGAAGCTGAGGGCAAAATGTAAGGATAGCCTGGTTAGTCTCTGTGCTTTATTCATTTTAAGTCAGAGTTGTCTTCTATCTTTCAGTAAATCATTGGATGTTCTTTCTACTCCGAGTTGTGTTGGCCTGAGTTCAAAGGGAGACATGGCAGTGCTGGGCACCAGTAATGGTTCACTGCACATTCTATATACAAATAGTGGCGAGGTAATGGACTTATCATTTTCTTTGTCTATATTCTTTATAAGAGAGTAGTCTACCCATATTTAATAATACAAATGAAAGTGTAAGTAAATGCTAACAATGAGCTTAAAACGAGAACCTGAACTGTTATTTTCTACCTTTTTGTTCTGTAAAATATACCATTGAATTACCTGCAGTAGATAGAGTTGCTTTGTAGTTGTAAAACACGCCCTGCTCTATGGTAACATTGCTGCTTCTCCATTGATATTGTATGGTGAGGATTGTATTCCTAGGATAGGAAATGTTGTTGCTGGAAGGATCTGGAAAAAAAAGAAAACTAATGCAGCCATCATATCTAATGATTGGGAAGCTGGAATATCTTACATTTATTTTTACAGGTATTCATATAGCACCGCCAATTTATGCAGTGCTTTATATGGTATTGTACATTCACATCAGTCCCTGCCCTCAAGAAGCTTAATATCTAAGGTCCCTAAATTATATTTTATACACATAGTATACTAGGGCCAATTTAGACAGGAGACAATTATCCTACCAGCATATCTTTGGAGTGTGGGAAGAAACCCACACAGGCACAGAGAGAACATGCAAACTCCAGCAGGTAGTGCTGTGGTTGGAATTCGAACCAGTGATCGTAGTACTGCACTTAGCCACTGTGCTTAATGTTTGTTCTTGAGTATGGATGCACTTAAATTCCCAACTAACATATTTAATTTTGAAATGAAATGATTTAAATTATTCAAATGCAATACACTTTAATTAACATGCTTGTAAGAAATGACGAATAATACATATAGTCCCTGTATATAAGACTTCTGACCTTGTAAAATATGATTAATAACACATATAGCTCCAATACAATGCTGCCAATAGTTTTAAAGTTGAATGCTAAGTTTATCTCCAGCCGCAACGTTCAAGGGTTAGAGCCCTAATAAGGTTTTGTACTGCTATCTGGGGCTCTGTAAGAAAGGTTAGCCTTATTAGTGGTCTAATGTTTACAATGTTTAACCAGACATTAACCACTTCAAGTCCCCTTCCTGTCCAGGCCAATTTCCAGCTTTCAGCGCGATCACGCTTTGAATGACAATTGCGCGGTCATGCAACACTGTACCCATATGAATCTTTTAGCATTTTGTTTTAGACAGATAAAGCTTTATTTTGTTGGTATTTATTCACCACTGGGATTTTTATTTTTTTTGCTAAAAAAAGTGTTTTTCTTATACAATTTTGCAAATAAATAATCTTTCTTCATAAATCTTGGCCAACATTTATTCAGTTATATTTTTAGTAAAATAAAAAATAACCCAAATTAGTTTATAACCAAAAATTATAATTTGTACAAAATTTTGTGTTAATTTTTTTCTTTTTTTATTATTATTTTTTTTTTGTTCTTTTTTTTTTTTACATACTGTCACCCTAGCAGTACAGCGTGACCATGGTGACACTGTACTACTTGTGTGTGGGGGGGGGGGGGTTATGAAGATTTTTTTTTTTTTTTACACTGATTGCTTTTACACCCATAAAGGCTGTAAAAGCAATAATTTCTCCCTCTCTCTGGCTGCATTCTTGCAGCCATTGAGAAATACTGTGTGAGCTGTGATTGGTCACAGCTTCTCACATATTACAAGGCTGTTGGGAATAGCCTTGTACCATGTGACCTCTGTGATCATTCACAGATTTCACACGTAGTAGACAATGATGTCAGAAGTGACATGTTGTGTACTACTCTTCAGTTGATCACTGATTGACCAATCAGTGATCACATGATCGGGACCACTAACAGAGGTCCCGTACAACGATCGGTGTTCCACTGTGTCCGGAGGACACAGCGGGCACCAGATCGCGGTGCTGCGCGCTCCCAGTGAGTGTGCACAAGCAGGGGGTAGGGAGGCCGTTTATAAACGATCACCCGACCCTGCACTGCCATCATCCAGCCGTTTATATACATGGGCTGGACAGGAAGTGGTTAAGTGAGGGTAGCTCCTAACACAGAACAAATTAGAAACAAAAGTTCTTCTGTAGCAGGGTAGGAAAAGGCTAAAGCTGCCATATACAATATCATTACTGTTTAATATGAGGACAAACCTAAAAACTGCATCAATGTGTATCGAACCAGGCAGACTTTTGTATTACATGGTTGCTGGCCGATCCAAATGATTGTACAGACTGTATATGGTATGGTCACCTTAAGGCCTCTATCTGATTTTTATTTCTATTGGTATCCTTCTTGTGGATTTTCCCACCCTTGTCTGATGAAGGCAGCAGAACAGGATGTAAAGTTAAATATCTTTAACAAAGCCCTGGATTGCGGTACAAACCCTGAAAATGAACAATTTTTTAAAGTGTTACTAAACCCACAACAGTAAAATCAGTCTGTATATTTCTCACTGTGAAGGGGTTAATCCTCTGCATTGTGTAAAAAGGATGTTTGATCCTATCTTCTCTGATCCTCCCCTTCTTCCAGTGTTTCCTAATGATCTCCTGATTACACCTTGTGATTACAGTAAAGCACGCTGACACAGTCCCCTAGTAAAACACTCCCTGCACACAGTTAACCCTTTGATCGCCCCCTCATGTTAATCCCATCCTGCCCACTGCCATTAATACAGTGTCAGTGCTTTATTTTTATTTATTATTTTTTTTTTTTTTAGCACTGATCACTGTTTGGTGTCACTGGGGATGTCAATGACACCAAGTCCGTTCCCCCCAGTGTCAGAATGTCTGCTGCAGTCTCGCTATAAGTCGCTGATCACCTCCATTACTAGTTGAAAAATGTTTTTTTTTTTAATAGCGCAAAAAATAAAAAATGCACAGGCGATCAAATACCACCAAAAGAAAGCTCAATTCTGCACCCAAATTTAATTTGGGTGCAGCATTGCATGACTGCGCAATTGTCAGTTAAAATAATGCAGCACCGTAACGCAAACAATGGCCTGGTCAGGAAGGGGGGTAAATCCTCTAGAAAGAAAGTGGTTAAATAGCACTGCTGACCACCTGCACTGGGGGTTATTATTGCTGCTATTGACATTGCTGGGGCTTATTACTGCAGAAAATGGCACAAATTCTGGGGATTATTGTTGCAGAAACTAGCACCAATGCTGGGGGTTATTGTTGCAGAAATTAGCACCAATGCTGGGGGTTATTGTTGCAGAAAATAACACCAGTACTGGGATTATTGCTGGGGATTAATATTGCAAAAACTGGCACTGATGCTGATGTTTTTTTTTTTGGGGGAAGGTGCAAAATATGTGGTAGGTATGTCACTTATATGGAGTGACCTCTGTAGTAAGAAATGGGGATGGGGGGGAGTTCAAAGGTGAAGGACGTACACTGTACTGTGAGGGAGGAGCCTTGTAGTGATGTTTCTTTCTAACAGTGACACCACCAACACAGGGAGAATTTTTTCATTTTCCTCATATTTCTACACCTATTTTAAACTTTTCAGTGCTTCTATTTCATTGCCTCAAACATAGCAAACATTTTGGCGCTCGTCATTATTGGCACCATACCCTTCTCCACCCAAGGTGGGGGGTACAATTTACCATCTTCGCCCCTGGGCGCCAGTTGACTTTGTTCTGGTTGCAGAGGCGTGTAAATCACATGACTGGCAATACAGAATTACATATGTTATGGCAGGTAAATAGCTTGCTTAACTCTCATTAGCATTTCCTTCTGATTAGAAGTTTGGTGTGGGCATTTCTGTGTTCTTCTACAGGGTTCTGCAAAATTCTATTTATATAGAGTATTTTGCTTAAATAGACTATCACCCTCTTTATGTTGTGTTGCAGGAAGTCAGAACACTGTACAGTGGTTGTGATGGAGTATCTACTTGTACATTCATTTCTGACACAATACTCTGTGTTGGCTCCTATGATGGAATAATGGAGATCTGGAATATAACAGATGGAAGTCGGTAAGAAACATTTCTAAGATATTTAAGGAAAACCATTAAAAGGCTGGAGGTGATTTTTTTGAATATTTTTTTTTCAAAAGAATGTTTGCTTTAAACTGTTCTTTTTATTATCAATGTATTCTTTGTTTTACATATAAACATTTAAAACATGACAAAGTATTTGTCAAACCTCTATAGTTTAGCTAAGAATGCAGCTCAGCAGATGCTGATTGCTTCGCAGCTCCCCTTTTGCTTGATTGATACCTCCTACTAAGCCATCCAATAAGCAACAAGTCACTGCTGTGATGAAAGGTTTCTTTCAAACTGAACTCCCCCCTTAACCTGGCCATAGGTGGATCAAAATTTGGCTGGTTCAACCAAACCAGTCCCTTACTCTGATTTCACAGCAGATTGTGAGTTTTTCTCAGTGTTTCTTAGAAGCTGCAGCATGTCAGATATAACTTACTTTATATCTTAGCTGGAGGACATCCAGCATTATCTAGCGCTTTCCTCCGCAGCTTTACTTTCTCTGGTTTTCCCTTTTATTCACTGGATTTCAGTTCAGACTGGCACCTACCCTTCAAACCATTTTGATATTTGCATAACTCCTCCCCACAGCTTACACAAATGTTGAAAATTCTTGAAAGGAGTACTAAAGCAGGCCATAGACCTTCATCGGCCGTTTTTTTTTTTTTTTTTTTTTTTTTTTTAGTCATAAATCGGTCGTTCAGACGGCCGACGTTGCCACTAATTAACAAAAAAAAGTCGGCGGGTTTTAGTCCCGTCTACGGCCGTCAATTAATATAATAGTGGTGTCCCTGCATAGAGACCCGCTATTATATTTGACAGAAGAAATAGATTATGCAGAAGAAGAAGAAGAGAAACAACATTGTATCTATTTGTACTTGAATAGAAACATCTGTATCCGAAATGCATACAAATAGATACAATGTTGGAACTTTTTTTTTCTCCATCTTCTTCTGCAAAATCTATTTCATCTTCTCTCTTCTTCTATTCTTCTTCTTGATATTCTATTTCTTCTTCTCCTGCAAAATCTATTTCTTCTATTTCTTCTTTTTTCTTCATAGTCAATTTATTGTCAAATCGGCCAGAAGAATGGCCGATTTGACCATAAATTACCATGAAAATCGGGCCGATCTAACAAATCGTCCCAGGATTTTCCACCTTGGACGATTTTCAAAATCTCTTAACATTAAGATAAACGGCCAACATTTTTCCCCACTAACGGTACGAATATCGGCCGTTTTTTTTTTTTTTTTTTTTTTTTTTTATCCGATAATTCGGCAAGAAAATCGGAAATCTATGGCCGCCTTAAGCCAGGGTGTTGTGATGTTTTCAGAAAGATACTTACAGCACCCTGCTGTCCTGTTCCAATAGCCATAGGCTGCCTGCATTGCATAGAGAAACCAGACACCATGTGATGACATCACTGGGTCTAAATTGGGTGTGTAGTGAAAACAGGTTTAAGTTAAACCTTTGATTAGCATGTAAATGAGGGGGATGTCATAATTTGGGAAGGCAAATAATAACCACAGAGTCAATAAAATGACTATGCCGTGTTTTATATTAAATGGTCTAATAATAATGTAAATTAGCTTTTACTACTTACCATAGCAAAACTGTAAAACTGAAATTTAATAAACTCAGTCTAAAGCTGGCCATGAACAGTGGTCTAAATTAGATAAATCTAACTGATCCCTCCATCCACACTAATAGAGTGGATGGGGGAATACTCCTGCTATCTATTGTATTCTGACAGCTGTGAACCCAGCTGTCAGCATACCTGAACAGTACTCTGGCTTCGTATATGTCATGGATTCTTACAGTAGCGATAACTCCCCACCATATTATCATAACACTTGTCTGTGGGAGTTTTTTGAAATTTCTGTCAACACTCTTTTTCCATAGCTTTATGGTGCATTCTTCATAACATGAAATAAAAAAAAAAACAGTAGGGGTTATGGCTATCTGTCATAGTGGCCACAGCAGGGGTGCAGATATATCCGTAACAGTGGGCCTGAGAGCTTTGTATGTGAGACTGTCAGGATCATTAACTCTTCAGCAGACATTAAAACATTAAATGCATACCAATGTGTACTGCGAAGTGTGCTGTTCATGATGAGATTTTCATTTTTTTGTTTTTTAAACACATGCATTTTTCTGTTTTCAGTTTACACAGAATTGAAGCACACAGGCGACAGGTCACAGGATGCTGTGTCAGTGCAGATCATAAACAGCTTATCACCTGCTCTCTAGACTGTCAGCTGAAGGTGACTGTGTCTTATTAAATGTACTTTCATGTCTTATGTCATGTGAACAGTACTTTTTCTCACTATTCTCCTTTTTCTTTTTTTTTTTTCAGTCATGGGATATCAGCCGCTGTTCTTTGTTAAGTTCTACCTCATTCTCCAGTCCCCTTAATTGTGTTGCGTTTCACCCCAGAGGTCATGTAGTAGCAGTTGGCTCCTGGGATGGGAAAATATCTGTGGTGCGACTGGAAAACTGGAAAAGAAGTGCAGTAAGTGACAATTAGGGGAATGCAAAACAGCAGTAACAGCACTTTTTTGGTGGTAGTTTATTTAAGGATAGATTCACACCTATGCAGTTCGCGTTTGATCTGTTTCTGCAGTGCGTTTTTGCACATGCGTTTTTGTTGTGTTTTTTGCATTTTTCTTTTGTTGCTAGGCAGATTTAAACCGCAAAACACATGAAAAATGCGGCAAAAAATGCATCAGAAACGCACTACATGCTTTCTGCAGTGTTTCCATTGAAGTCTATAGAACCAAAAACCCAACTTTTTGCGTTTAAAAAAAGACCCTGATCCTTTCCAAAAAATGCACTGGGTGAAAACGCGGACATGTGAACCTGTCCCATAGGAAATCATGTAAAATGGACTGTAGTGCGTTTCTGCAAAACGCAGCAGAAAACGCTTAGGTGTAAACCTAGGGTAACAACTGCCTGCAGCAAACTCAAGTCGTTCTCACTACTGCCACTTTAAGAACCTGTTACTATGGCAATGACAGATTCTTAAAGAATTACCACCAGTTCTCAAATTAGGATTCTGGTAGTAATTAAAGTGGAATTTCACTCTCTCAATCAACATGGACTATTTTTAATCCTTATGCTGCTAGCATTAGCAAATGGATAGGAAAGTATATCATATTTACTTGTTTTAAACTTTTTTTTACATTTCTTGCTGGTTTCCAGGCCGAGACAAATGTCATACATCCCAGCAGTCTTTAGGAAGGGAGATAGGGTTCTCAGCTCAGCCAATGCCTGAGCCAGGGGCAGATGGATTCCAGCACATAAATGCTACATGACTTATCTGCCTTTACTCAAGATAGCCACTTCCATAAATGCCAGGAAATGTTTTTTCAAGATGATTTCTCAGTACTCAGAGAGGGCCCAGCATGTGCTGGGAAGCTGTCTTGTATGTGACAGCTTCACGCACCGTGCTATACGTTCAGCCCTATTTAGCTGTCAGCCAGGAGTTTCCTCGGCCAGAAGCTAAAGGTAAACGGGGATACAGGTGATATCATTATGAAATGACTTGCCACTAAGCTGACGGAGCCTGATGATGAACTGAAAGAGTAACTTCTTGTTAGGTCCCTTTTCTTTTGATTGACAGCACATGGCAGTGGGTGAATTCAAAAGCTGCTATTGGAATAAATAACACTATGGATCCACCTACTGCCGTGCACTGTCAATCAAAAAGTATGGGGTCCAGTACAAAACTCCTCGGCCATGTGCCTGTCAATGTGACGGGTGCAGTGGCCAGGGAGGGAACACACTGAGGAAGAAGTATCCAGTGTGGACACTCTTTCCTCAGTGCAGACAACGACAAATTCACTTACCTCTCTGTGAACATGAATTGGTACATGAATAGGCTGCAAGCATCAACACTTTCGGTGTTCTGCTGCAATGGGATTCTAAAGGGGGGTACAACACCGTTTATGGATTCCCCTGAATTAACATATTTATAAACTATTCAGCCTCATTAACTATGTATGAAAGATTGATAACCTGGTCCTAATCTGTTTTAGGTTATGTGCGGTTTCTCTTCAGTAAGAACGGTGTCCTTCTCCATGGAAGGCAGTGTCGTGGTGTCTGGTTGCCTCAATGGTTGGGTGTCACTTTGGTCATGGGAAGCACAAGTTGAATTGTCTAGCTTTAGAGCTCACAGTGGCTCAGCTCTGACTGCTAACTTTTTGCATCATGGGGAATACATTCTAACTGGAGGAGAGGATGGCAAGGTGATGAACCACATTCTGATTCACAAATAATTTAGGAATGGAATTTTAGGGTATATATTAAGCATTTGTATTTTCATATACAGGTACAGGTATCATCTGGAGGTCTTGGAAGATTTCATGGACCTGCCTGTGTAAATAGTGCACAGTCTCCAGTGCTTTCTTTAGCCCTGTCCCCCAACAGAGAGCTGCTGGCTGTTGGATATCATTCTGACTCTGTTGGTATCTGCAGTGTGGCTACTGGTAAGAGAGAAAAAACGTATTTGTATTTTGGCATAAAATCATCTTCCCTGGGTCAATAGTTACATAAATTTAAACATATTCCTTAACTACTTTCCCGCTGCCCTATAACAGATGTACTGCTACAGGGCGGCAGGGGGTGCGCAAAATCACGTACATATACGTGATTTTGCATCTCCAGGAAGGGGGGGGCGCGCGTGGCCTTCGGCTGTTAATCACTGGGTCCCGGCCGGTGATCAAGGAGCATTACCGACGGAGGGAGAGAACAGTATGTGAACAATACAGTTCTCTCCCATCTGCTCCTGCACACTGCTTTGAGCCGTGCAAAGCAGTGTGTGTGTACAGTTGAAAGCATTTACACAGCTCACAGTAAAACAGCACACAGTTAACCTTTTGATCGCCCCACATGTTAACCCCTTCATGCCCAGTGCCATTAGTACAGTGTCAGTTCTTTTTGTTAGCACTGATCACTGTATTGGTGTCACTGGGCATGTTAGTGACACCAAGTCAGTTCCCCCCAGTGTCAGAATGCCCGCCACAGTCGCTGATCGCCGCCATTACTAGTAAAAATTAAATAAAAAAATAAAAAATTCCAGTATATATCGCCATTTTATAAACGCTATAACTTTCAAGTAAACCAATTAATTTACACGTATTGGGATATTATTTTTAGCAAAGACATGTAGCAGGATACATTTTGGCCTAAATTTATGATGAAATTAGATTTTTTTTAAATTTAAAATAGCAAAAAAGTAAAAAATATTGTTTTTTTTCCTCAAAATTGACGGGTTTTTTTTTTAAAGGGCAAAGAATTAAAAATGCACAGGTGATCAATACCACTGAAAGAAAGCTCTATTCGTGGGGAAAACAAGGATGTAAATTTCATTTGGGTGCAGCATTGCATGACCGCGCAATTGTCAGTTAAAGTGACGCAGTGATGTACTGCAAAAAAGTAGAATAAAGAAAGTGGTGGAGATTTCAAATCCCTGCTGCTTTCTATCTTACCGCTGAGAATATGGAGCAACTGCCTTCATAGTATACATCCTCACACGCCCACTCTCCACTCAGCATGGGATGGCAGCAGGGAGGTTTCCTGCACTGCTTCTGTGTGAACTCAGGCTATGACAAGCAGTGGGGAAACCACATGGGATTTGGTATTCGTATCGTATTCCTGTTCAAACTGCATGCTTATCTTTGCGGTGCAATTTGTAGTGACGCATATAGTGAAAATACTTGGTATCCACACATACCCTCATTCAGTAGCCACTTCATATTGTATGCCTACCTTGTACTGGGTAGGACCCCCCAATATTGAATGCAGCAAATCATTGTCAGCTTTTATTAGGGATTTTAGTTAATGCTGGCTTGATAGCTTAATAGAGCAGTTTATGCAGACTTCTCAGCGTATGCTCTGATAATTAAACTATCTTACTTTGAACAAGTGAAAAGGAGTGTATTATAATATATATAATTCAATAATATAATACACAGTAACTAAGTAACTGTGTGGTTATATATATATATATATATATATATATATATATATATATATATATATATATATATATATATATATATAGGTGTCAGAAAAAGTGTGCCATTTTGCACAGCCAAAAATAACACAATTGTTGATGTATTTGCATATTTAATTAGCAGAACAAGGTGGGCCATGGGCCAAGCCCCTATATGTATCACCCACCAATAAGTGAACATCCCAATAACAGATAATATAGCTGTTATCAATAAAGAAGACATATCAACAAATCAAGAGTACTAAGGCAAGGTTCTGCAATGTTTCCAGGAAGCTATGTACAGGACCCTGCTGGCTGCTCCCACCAGTCATGATTTGCCTGCATTGCATAGAGAAGGATGGGAAATAGCTATCTTCATTAAAGAACACACATCAGTAAAGTTGAATCCTCTGAATTATTGACTCATCGCCACATACAGCAACAGTACCTTTTATCATTAAAAATCAATTCTTGACCTCCTTTCAAGTGACTAGGTCTAGTCTTTCAATGCCTGCCTAAACATAGCACAATGGGAGAGTTATGTAATAAGTCTGCTGCAAACCAGAGAAAGCATTTTCTCAGTCTCCCACAGTAATAACTCAAAGTGAAGGACAGTTAAAACCATAGTGCTTGTCTGCAACAGCTTTAGGTAACTCTTAATGACATATTTTTTCTTGTATTTCAGGAGATCTTTTGACACAGTGTAAGTTTTCAGATGTGGCTGTGAACAGCCTAGTGTGGCTTTCTAACAGCATTTTAGTGAGTGGCAGCTCGGACAGCTTGGTTTGTGTGTGGAATGTCTTCCCAGGGCCGGGTGCCTGTCAGCTCACACTCAGTGGACACCAGCGCTCTGTTTTGGGCCTGGCTCTCTCCTCCAAGCTTCTGGCTTCGGCATCAGGTAAGAAGTGACCTCACACAGTATTTGGCAGTTTCAACTTTGCACAGGTTGTTTTTTTTCTACAGACACCCCTTACCTGCATAGGCAGTTTATGGCAAAGGTGAACTACGCCTTTAACATTTCATTGCCCTTATGTTTACTTAAAGTATTTTCTCACACTTTTTAGAGGATGCTTCAGTCTGTCTCTGGTCAGTGGAAAGTCTCTTGGCATCTGATCCCACAGTCTGTCCTGTGTCTGTTCTTCATGGTCACACTGCAGCAGTCACATGCTGTTCTTTCAGCCCAGATGGGAAACTGCTGGCTACTGGGGGGCAAGATCGGGTAAGGAAAGTTAAGAGCACAAATCAGTTCTTTTCATTATCGGCAACTGGGTACAACTGCTTCATAGTGAACTTTAGGTGTTATGTTAAGTGTTAGCGTTAGGTTTAAGGAAATATGTATCTGTGTGTGTTGGAGGACAAGGAGATCAAGAATTATAGGAACATTTTAGGGGATAGCTTAAGCATAACTGAGATCAAACTTTACCATTACATATGTGTTGTAGGCTCCCCATACCAGTACAATTGGGCTCTCTGTTTTTAAGTAAATTTTGGAACATTTTATAAATGTCTTTTGATTCTTACAGTAGAGCCATTGGTTTTGTACTTTCTTTAAAAGGGTAACAACACTCATTCCTCAGCAGTGAAATCAATGATGCATATTCACCCTTGCTGCTGCTATAGCTGCTTAGCCCTTGGTACAGTTGATAGCTCTATAGGTGCATATTCACATTTAACTCCACCAATGGCCTTCTAGATTGCAGCACATTCTGCTATCTGCAGGAGCTAGGAGATGATGAAAAGCCCTGTTCAGCCCCCCTCCCCTTCCAGTACTGTCTAGCACAGTGATGGCGAACCTTTTTGAGCCTGAGTGCCCAAAACTGCAACACAAAACCAACTTTTTTATTTCAAAGTGCCAACACTGCAATTAACCACTTGCCTACCGGCACTTCTACCCCCTTCCTGCCCAGACCAATTTTCAGCTTTCAGTGCTGTTGCACTTGACAATGACAATTGTGCGTTCATGCAACACACATTTTTTCACACAAATAGAGCTTTTTTTGGTGGTATTTAATCACCACTGGGTGTTTTATTTTTTGCACTATAAATGAAAAAAGAGCAAAAAATTAAAAACATAAAAGGTTTTCTTTGCTTCTATTATAAAATTTTGCAAACAGGTAATATTTCTTCTTTGATGTGCGTTGGTGAGGCTACACTAATAGGCAGCACTGATGGGCATTGATGAGGCGGCACAGATAGGTAGCACTGATGAGGCGGCACTGGTGGGCATTGATGAGGAGGCACTGATGATGCACTGATATGCAGCAATGATGGGCATTGATAAGTGGCACTGACTGATAGCACCAACTGGAGGCACTGACAGACGGCACTGATCGGCGGCACTGCTGGGCATCATTGATGGGTGGCACTGATGGGCATCATTGACGGGCGACACTGCTGGGCAGCACTGACAGGTGGTACTGCTGGGCAGCACTGACAGGTGGTACTGCTGGGCAGCACTGACAGGTGGTACTGCTGGGCAGCACTGACAGGTGGTACTGCTGGGCAGCACTGACAGGTGGTACTGCTGGGCAGCACTGACAGGTGGTACTGCTGGGCAGCACTGACAGGTGGCACTGCTGGGCAGCACTGACAGGCGACACTGCTGGGCACTGATGGATGACACTGCAAGCAGTTAATCTCACCTCTGGCAGTGTCGGTGTGGCTTCCAACCCAGCAGCTCATTCCCATACACACTGAACACATCGCCCCTGGCCCCGGAGCAGTGTGGGAGCCTCTTCCTCTCTTCCACGCCCATCCCCGGCTACATCACCCCTGGTGCCAGATCCGCATAGGAGCCGTTTCCTCTCGTCCATGCCCACCCTGGCCCCAGAGACATGTGGGAGATGTAGTTTGATGGGGGTCCAGTGTGGACGAGATCTGGATGGCCGGTCAGTGTGCACTCATCTTCCTCTTCTTCCTGGCGTGCCCACTGAGATGGCCATAGGTTCGCCATCACTGGTCTAGCAGAATGCATGAGAGATCCAGATTTCCAGCTGCATTTAGCATTTGAAAAAATTGGATATTAAACATGTCAACTTGCCTTGGCAATGCCTTTAAAATGTTTGTCACTCTGATTGGCAAATACCTAGGAATTAGCTATTCAACTTGAAGACATGTAAGGGAGCTGTATGACTTGCACCTTTTTTGTTGCTAAGAACCCGAAACTGAGAAGCAACAGTCCTGCTTTTTTGTGCACAGAAAACCTGTAAAAAAAGATCAGTACATCCCATGGCTGTCATTGATTATATAGAAAGCAGAGAGAATGGAAGTCATACAGTTCAGGATTCAGGAACAACACTCTTGCTGGCCTCATCTGGTGTAGAGATGTGTGTGCTTATTCTGCAGTTTATGGAAATTTGAGTGAACTTTTAGACTTTAGCACAGTTGTTGTGTTTGCTGTAGACTTTTTTTGAATATTAGTAGTCCATTAAATGCTTTCTGTTTAAATACACTTTTATTGAAGATTTACAAAATCAAAAATAATACATAAACAGAAACATACAACTGTGAGAACACATGAATCAATTTTATCATCAGTGGAACAAAATATCAGCCATGTCATTCAGCTTATTAAAGTATTTCACTTGTTGCTTGGATGTTCTCTTTAAACTTCTGGTCTCTCTGGACTGCTGCACATGTGTTATTATACAAGGAAAATGGTATTTGTGAAAAATGGCTTGCATTTTTGCTTTCTTGTAGTCTGTGCTTTGTTGGGATGTGTCCGTGAACCCACCTATCCTTTCATGCTCACTTCTATCATGTCACAAGGACTGGGTGACTGGCTGTTCCTGGCCAGACAGTGGTATGCTGGTAAGGCTCAGAAACCTTTTTTTTTACTTGAGTTGACATGAAAAGAACAGATGATTCTTCAGCTTTTACAATGTGTTTAGTTCTGCTGGTACTATTGCTTATCATTATTTGTGTAATTTGGCAAAATTAGTGTAGATGGGTATATTGAATGTGTATTCGTGTGAGTGTATTGGGAGTTATTCAAAATGAATAACGTAAAGCATCTTTTGTGGGGCAGATCTCTGGTTCTGGAGATGGATCTTTGTGTCTGTGGGACATTCAGCAGGAAAAGCAGCTCCTAACCTTTGCTGGACACCAGAGTGCAGTCAGTAGTGTTTCTTGCATGGTATGTAGTCCTCCTGCATCTTTGGGTCACTTTTTCTTTTCAGTGATGCTCTGTTTTGTTAGATCTGAGTCTGTTCTGTCTTCTTACAAGGGGGAACGTGTTATCTCCACCGGTAGAGATGGCTACTTAAAAGTATGGAGTCTTACTGGCCTTGAGATTGCAAATATTCGTACTGACCATAACCAGATAACTCAGAGTGCAGCCTACTGGGAGCCAGAAGATAGTCGTGGTAAGACACCATTTTTAATATCAGAACTGATTTCTGTTTTTGCAGATGGGGGTTTGGCCATCACCAGAGGACACAACTTAGGCATGCTGTTAGTTTAAGTTGCACCTAGTGCTTTGCTCCTGAAAGTGGCAGCAGCAAACCCATCTGTGAAGAAGTAAAGCTGTGCCCTTCAATGAACTCAGAGAAAGGAATTTTACTGCAAGTGCAAAAATCTATTTTTTTGTGTGTTGGCAGGAGCATGTCTTCTCATTAGGCTGAATTTACTCAGATATAATGATAGTTATTTGTCACAATTTTTATTTGCATCAGCTGAAAATAACAGTAACATAGCTTAATATAAGGAGCAGTAGTGCAAATAACCATTGTGATTAGTGGTAAAGCTCGGTTAAATAAAAATACTGTTTTGTAATTTTTTTAGAAGCTTTGTTCAAAAAAAAAAAAAAAAAAAAAAAAAAAAAAATATATATATATATATATATATATATATATTTAATATATATATATATATATATATAAAAATAGTAGTAGTAGTATTATTATTATTAATAATAATAAAGAGGATTTATATAGCGTCAACAGTTTGCATAGCGCTTTCCAAAATATATGTATTATAGAGTTTCTTATTATATATGTACATAGGGGCAGTTTTTCTTGCTCATTATATCTCCTGGCTCTGCTTCCTACTTTGTAGTGCTACCCAATGCTTGTGCCTTACTGCTTCTTCTCGCAATGGAGTCCTATGAGTCTGTCTACTAACGAACAATCCTGAGAATGTCTATTTATTACAGTATTTATTTACCGTATTTTTCGCTCCATAAGACGCACCTGACCATAAGACGCACCTAGGTTTTAGAGGGGAAAAACAAGAAAAAAAAATATTCTGAACCAATGGACTGCAGACACAGTACAGGGGATGACCAGAGACTGCGGACATAGTACAGGAGATGACCAGAGACTGCAGACACAGTACAGGAGATGACCAGAGACTGCGGACACAGTACAGGAGATGACCAGAGACTGCGGACACAGTACAGGAGATGACCAGAGACTGCGCACACAGTACAGGAGATGACCAGAGACTGCGGACATAGTGCAGGGGATGACCAGAGACTGCGGACACAGTGCAGGGGATGACCAGAGACTGCGGACACAGTGCAGGGGATGACCAGAGACTGCGGACACAGTGCAGGGGATGACCAGAGACTGCGGACACAGTGCAGGGGATGACCAGAGACTGCGGACACAGTGCAGGGGATGACCAGAGACTGCGGACACAGTGCAGGGAATGACCAGAGACTGCAGACAGTGCAGGGAATGACCAGAGACTGCTGACAGTGCAGGGAATGACCAGAGACTGCAGACAGTACAGGGGATGACCAGAGACTGCAGACAGTGCAGGGAATGACCAGAGACTGCAGACAGTGCAGGGAATGACCAGAGACTGCAGACAGTGCAGGGAATGACCAGAGACTGCAGACAGTGCAGGGAATGACCAGAGACTGCTGACCTTTGGAGAGGGAGGGGGAGCGGGTACCTGAATTTGTCAGGTACCCGCTCCCACTTCCACGGAGTTGTCCTTCCTTTCTTCTTCCCGGGCCGGCTTCTGTGACAGCCGGGTGCCCACTGCGCATGCGCGAGAAGCGCTGCGCTTTGTGAATGGCCCGGCGCATTTTGGGACCTGTTATGTGTCCCAGAAGACACCGGATCATTCACAAAGCGCAGCACATGCGCAGTGGGCACCCGGCTGTCACAGAAGCCAGCGCGGGAAGACTGTGCAGCGCTGGAGCGAGGAACAGGTAAGGCCCTGCAGGCGAGAACAGCTGAGCGGCCGGCCCGGTATTCTGACATGGTGGTGGCAGAAATACCGGACCGGCCGCTTTATATTCGCTCCATAAGACGCACTGACATTTTCCCCCCTTTTTTGGGGGGAAAAAAGTGCGTCTTATGGAGCGAAAAATACGGTAAACACTAAATTACGTAAACACTGCAATACTAATTTAAGATGTGTGTTAATTGAGAATGCACTACACTCTCAGGCTTTTAGGACAGCTACTTTATCAGCCCCTCCACAGTCAATTACTTGAAATGGGAATGTGCTTTTAACATGTTTTTATGATTTCACATTTTAGCTGATGCTGATATCGTGGTTTATACAGCGGGGTCTGATGGCACAGTTTTAAAATGGAGTCCTCTACAGGTAAGATAATTCAGTACAGCACATCATAAATACATACAACCTGCTTAAGAGTCCCGTCATTAGTGTATAGCGAGCATTGTTATAGATCAATGGTGAGGAATAAAGGACTCACTCATACCAGATTTGTTTTACAGATGGAGCAAATACAGACATTGTATGGTCATGGAGGTGCTGTGATGACATCTGCAACAAATCCCAGACACGAGGTTTCAGTTACCGCTGCCCATGATGGCTCAGTTCGGCTTTGGGGAGTTCCATGCAGAGATGGTATGAAATTTAAAGCAAACATGCCATATTTACCTGCTCTGTGCAATGGTTTTACACAGAGCAGCCACGATCATCCTCTTCTCATGTCCACGCCGATGCCCCTGACTACTCCCCCCACCGAATGCCCCATAGAAAGCCATTTTCTATGAGAGTATATGTGCGGACTTGCTCCAGATCCTCACTGTCTGTGTCTTCCATGCCCTTTTCTCCTCATCATAGGATTTGATATGGGGAACCAATGGCTCTCTCTGCTATCAGTTTGCCCAGTGAGGAGTGCAGGGCACTGGATTGAGATCGAGCTTAGGTAAGTATAGGGGTGGACTAGGGGGGATCATCTGCAATAGAAGTTTTTTTTTTCTTTTTTACCATAGAATGCATTCAGGTAAAAAAACTTTATAGCTTTGGAGCCACTTTAATTGTTCTGGGTTCTGTTCTGTTATCTGAATAACCTGTATGTATCTGTGCATTTTATAACTTGTATAGCATATATTATTAAAATAGAACTAAACTCTCACAATCAACATAACTAGGTTTAATCCTTATGTTGCTAGCATTAACAAATAGATATGAAGGTATTTTATTTTTTAAACATTTTTTTTTTTTTTAATTTCTTCAGTTTCTTCCTGGTTTGGCCTAGGCCAAAATGATGTCTTACATCACAGGAATCTCATGGGCATTCTTTTTCTTTCATCTGGAGGAGGAAAGGATGGGGCTTTCTCAGTTAAGCACCCTCCCTTTTCTGCATGCCTAAGCTAAGGGAATTAGCTGACAGAAAGTAAAAGTTCAGTTTTTAAAGTATGTTTGTATAATTTCATTATACAGCTTTTCAGAAGTCCAGACTGTAAATGAGAGTTAATAAATAATCTATACAGTGGGTCTACACAGGCTTTATTCAGTTGTTTGTTTCTCCATAGAGGGTCTTAAAGGAATCCGCCACAAGGGTGCAGTGTCTGCCATTGCATGGTCTCCAGATGGGGAGCTGGTGGTATCTGGTGGAGAGTTTGGAGATCTGATAGTATGGAAACAACAGAAAGCTGTTCTCAAGCTGCAGGTAAACCATCTCTATAAGTAATATATAGTGTTTATATATGAATTCTTTATTGTGCTTAGGATTAATAGGTACAAATTTTTTTTAAAAAGTGGATATATTACTATCAGCTTGTGCAGCTCTATACCTTATTAACAGACTCTCCTTAATTGCTGTACCAGGAAAATATTTTGCTTATAGAGTTCTATAGCTGGAACTGAGGTTTGCACACACAACACAATGAAAAGGAGGAGTAAAACTGGCCATAGATGATTGATCTAATGATTGACTCCTCTAGAAGAGGACTATTGGGATATTTTTGTGCAATCAGTGCACAAAGGCAGCTGGCTGCAATGCTGATCAGTGTATTCTGACAGCGGACGTGTCCTGCTGTCAGAATACAGTAGTGCAGTGGGGAGGATTCCTTCATCAACCTCAAATCCATCTATGGCCAGCTTTACTCATGTTCCTCCCTACCATCCCTTCCTGATTAGTTCAGATCAGTCCTACAGAGCTGATATTCCTTATGTTAGACGTTTATATTTTTAAACTAAAACTGTTATATGGTAAAAATAAATAAATATATAAAAAGCAAAGTATAAAGCACTGACTAAAAAACGTAGAAAAAAAAATGACCCAGAACCATTAGAGCGCCTCTTTATATACATAAATGTCTTTAGATAAATGTCAGTTTTACAAAGTGATCTTGTAAGTAGATGCCCACTCACTGGGTAAATATTCTACAAGGTAGTAAATCAGCAAAGTATGTGTAACTATTAAAAAAAAATAGATTTTTAAAAAAAGTTTTACTTAAAAATCCTCCATATTTGCATACATTTCATAATGAGCACTGACTGACTACCTGTACTAAGTTCAAGTCTAACTAACAAAATTGATGCCTATGCTTGTATTGCAGAGTGGAGAGCTTTGTATTTCCTCAGTTGTATTTACTACACAACGTTCATTCTGCATTGTCTCCAATGATCTGACCATTTCCCGTTGGCTCCTGTTTCCTTGTAAGGGAGGTGGCTTAAGGTCAGTAATAATAATTACTAAAGGTATAACCTAAGTATGAGACTTTAAGTGGGTTGAGGACAGTTTATCATATCCTCAACACTATACTGACTTTTATTTTAGTCTCTTAACCATTTGTCAACTGCCAGCAGTACATTTACTGCTGGTGGGCGACATCCCCAGAACCTGTGATGTACCCATATGTTGCGGTGCTTATGCGCATTGGCCCTTGGGGCGCGCAGTGGTTTGATCATGGGTCTGGTGTGAGCGGTGGGGTATCATGTGTTCGCTATGACCAGTCACAGCGATCACATGATAACATGTAAGCAAAACATTATGGTTTTTCTTCATGACAATTTGCTTACTATTGTGATGATGTGATTGGCCCACAGCTATCACATTGTACCTGGGCCAATCACAGCACCAGTGCCATTAATTTTTTTTTTTTTTTTTTTACATACTGTCACTAGTTAGTATCCCTGATCACTGCCTCACCAGTCATATGATGATGCTGTACTGCACTGGTAAACAAAAAAGGTGGGGAAAAAATGATTTTATTTCATTTCTTTGTTTTCCAAAAAATGTGACAAAAAAAATTACAACTTCAGAAAACTTGCCATGCCTCTTAGTAAACACCTTTGACTGTCTACTTTCCGAAAAGGGGTCATTTGGGAGATATTTGTACTGTCCTGGCATTTTAGTGTCTCAATAAATTAGATGGGCCATCAGTACATCGGATTGATCAATTTTCAAATATATATACCATAGTTTGTAGACTCTATAACTTTCACACAGGCTAAATAATATAATAATATACACTGATTTGGATTATTTTTACCAAAGAAATGTAGCAGACTACATTTTGGCCTACCTGAAGAAAGATGAAAAAAGATGCACTGAATCACGCACCATACTGCTCTCTACCACAGCTGTCCGCTATAGTGTGAACCCGGCCTTAGGGACAGGAAGTGAGGAAAATCTCTCTAGTAAAGTTACGACAATATGAACACCTGACAGCAATTCTAACCGTTCCATACTCGATCCAAAACTAAGATAAAAACGTTAGTTTAAGATACACTTATTAGTACTCATTGTACTTGTTAGGGTGTTGTTACGGCATTGCCACAAATATTAATCCCAAAAGTATCTGTGAATGGGCTTCCTTTAAATAAAAACATCACTTTCCAAAAATAAAGACTATTTTTTAACAAAGAAAGTCAAACAGCATTTAACCTCGTCCCGTCTGGCCCATGTCGATAAACGGCCGGATGAGAGCGCTGCCGATGCAGGTGGACGTTTCTAAATGTTTCTATTTCCTGTGCACACTCCCCAGGAGCGAGCGGCACCATGATCAGTGCTGCTGTGTCCGGAGATCGCTGTACGGGACCTCTGTGTGCGGTCCCGATTCATGTGATCACTGATTGGCCAATAAGTGATCACATGAACAGTAGTAAACAAGTTGTCACTTCCTGACATCATTGCTTACTACTTGGGAAATCTGCGAATGATCACAGAGGTCAAATGGTACAAGGCTATTCACAACAGCCTTATACCATGTGACAAGTTGTGACCAATCACAGCGCACACAGTATTTCTCAATGGCTGCAGGATTTATTGCTTTTACAGCCTTTATCGGTGTAAAAGCAATCAGTGTAAAAATAAAAAAAACTCAAATAAATAAGAGAGTGTCTCCCGCGCCACTAAATATACTGATGGTACTCAGCAGCCAGCACACTAAAGGTGCCACAATCTCAACACCAACGGTATTCAGAAGACTTAATTAGAGTATAAAGCAGTGCGGCGCTCAAACAGAAAATAAAAATGTTGCATCAAATTACATACTCTTGTATTTTTCCTTTCACCACCATATATTATGTAGCCCAGACAGCCATAACACATGTAAGGAAAATAAATTATAGGCTGGTGGTGTTACACACTCAAAAAACTTCTCATGCACTATAGTGACTTAACACAAAGTGAATAGTGTCCATGTGCATAAAGTATCATGCGGGTGTGAACTGAAAGTGCCAATCCTCAGATAGGTGGAGTGCCCCCTCACCTTCCTGCCCAGGCCCCTAAGGACCAATGAGCCTTTTGATATATAATGGATCTTTCCCCTGGAGTTGGATGGGTCCTTCAGATAGTGGGTCCTTCAGGTAATAATGGTGGGACTCCCCTCCTCTTGTCTCTATCTCGGATCGTTGGTGGTATCGATAAATACCCCTCCCAAGTAGTCACCTGTCTGCCCGTATCCGCCTCCTCCAAGGTATTTATCGATACCACCAACGATCCGAGATAGAGACAAGAGGAGGGGAGTCCCACCATTATTACCTGAAGGACCCATCCAACTCCAGGGGAAAGATCCATTATATATCAAAAGGCTCATTGGTCCTTAGGGGCCTGGGCAGGAAGGTGAGGGGGCACTCCACCTATCTGAGGATTGGCACTTTCAGTTCACACCCGCATGATATTTTATGCACATGGACACTATTCACTTTATTGTGTTTTAAGTCACTATAGTGCATGAGAAGTTTTTTTTTTGAGTGTGTAACACCACCAGCCTATAATTTTATTTTCCTTACATGTGTTATGGCTGTCTGGGCTACATAATATATGGTGGTGAAAGGAAAAATACAAGAGTATATAATTTGATGCAACATTTTTATTTTCTGTTTGAGCGCCGCACTGCTTTATACTCTAATTAAGTCTTCAAAATAAAAAAAAATCATCACCCCCCACAAGTAGTACAGTGTCACTATGGTGACACTGTACTGCTAGGGTGACAGTATGTTAAAAAACCCTATAAATAATATTAAAAAATTAAATAAAAATGTTTTTAAAAATTATAATTTTTGATTTTTTTTTTTTTACTAAAAAGATAGATGAATACATTCTGGCCAAGATTTATGAAGAAAGATAATTTGCAAACTTTTATAAGAAAAACACTTTTTTCTTCAACTTTTTTGGCCTTTTTCATTAATATAGCAAGAACATTAAAATCCCAGTGATGAATAAATACCACCAAAAGAAAGCTCTATATGTCTCAAACGCTAAAAATTTCATATGGGTACAGTGTTGCATGACCGTGCAATTGTTATTCAAAATGTGATAGCACTGAAAGCTGAAATTTGGCCTGGACTGGAAGGGGTGAAAGTGTCTGGACTTGAAGTGGTTAAAACACTGTTTGACGTTTATGAGCACAGTTGTGCTCTAAATATTACACCATGTGATTACAAGAGCCTTCTCTTCTGGCTGACCATTTTTGTTTTGTAAATACCTGTCCATTTTTGTACTTACTAGTGCTAGATAGTGGGTAGAACTAATAGGACTTGATATTTTTGTCCCCCATAGTAAGTAGGCTATTTTGGTGCTGGGATTGGTGTGGTGAAAAGGGGAAGCTTGGTTGTTGTGGACCAAAGAACCATGGTGTCCTTTTATGAACCAGCGGTAATAGATCGCTGCTCAGTTCTCCGGCATTCTCGGAGAACACAGTTCTCCTGTGAATGCCGTTTATGAAGCATATGTAGATCAGTTCTCCGAACGAAGGGAGAACGTTCTTCAAATGCTGGAAAACGGCTCATTTTACTATAATCTCGTGAGATTACAGTAAAAGATCAGTTTACTAAGCAGAGGTAAATTATCTCTGCTTAGTTTTCGGTCCCTCCGATTCTCCAGCTCTGGGCTGGAGAATCTGGAGGGAGAACACAGATCTCCAGTGAAGGGCTGAACATGTTCTCCGCTGATCTCCTGAGTGTCATAAACTGTGAATGATCCTCTGAATCGCAGCTATTCTCTGTGTCATAAACGGTCACCCATGTCTGGTTGGAGTATTGTAACCACAATGTCTGGGGAGCTTGCAAGCTTTTTAACAAGTCCACACCCATTTTCTAGTCCCAAGCTATCTGCAGGATACTTTTATCCTTTGATTAACACAGAGATCTGTTGTATAATTTAGAAGTGATGTGAACCACTTAACAGATGCAATAATCTGAAAATGACAGTTTAAACTGTTTTTCAAGAGCATATTTTGTTGCAAATTGCAGTTGTCAAATTTGTTACAAATCTGTCACAGTTTAACATAATGCAACAGAATTGGCAAGTGATACAACACATTTGTTACATTATAATAAATCTGTCACGAAATATTACCAAACTGCGGCACATTAATGGAACCAAAAGCTGCAACTTTATTGATGAATGTTTCCCATGTCTTGTGCAATAATTCACCCAAAGGAATGGTGTCATTCAATCGAACAGAGTGAAAGATCTATTACGAGATAGTCAGAGTAGATTTTGTAAAAAAATGTTTCCTAACTCCTGGGATCTTCTGTAACATTTACTTCTAACAAGTGAGGTGTAGATTCTGGCCAAAAGTCTGACTTAAAATGACCTAAAAGTGGCAATTATAATAAAAATAGACCAGCACCAACACGTCTAGCCACATTGGTTCTATAATGTTACAGCAAAGAAATTCTCCCTTACATGATTTTTCCAATTTGGCTCAACATAGGCAAATCTGTGAGTCCCAATGCTGTAAAACACTCACTCTAGCAGCAGCATGGCTTGATGCCTTGGTGTTTGTTTTTGCGTAATTTTTTATTTCAGCCATTTTTATGTGGTTTTAAATAGACAACTAGATCTGAGGTGTACTCTACTACTTGGAGCGTCTTCTCATCTTCCCAGACTCTTGTTCTCACCTGTTAGAAAAGGATGTGATGGAACACCCAGGAGTGAACCGTTGCATTTATTATAAAAAGTGCACTGTGACAGCTTATAATTTCAGACCCTCAAGACCTTGTGTAGGTGATTTTTCTATCATGTACTGACTTTCTGGTCTGAGGATAGTTTTCTGGGAATGTGTTTGCTGAACAATACTTCTTTACACCTTGTGTCAGCAGTTGGTGCTTTATTCATGCCAGTGTCATTAGGATTTTTTGAAGCAAACAAATATAGAGTGCAGCCATTTACTGGTGTAATTTAACATATATAAAAAAATCAGCTGAGGCTGGCCTGCTCATAGTTTGCTTGCCCCCGTGTTACTGCAAATGCACTTGGAAATCTGCTTTTTCTCCTACAGAGCAAAGAAGGCTTACAGTGTGGAGATTGAGTCCCTGGTACTGTCTGCAATCCCTACTGCATCACAAAAGTTGCAGCTCCACACATTGTCAGGGAAAGTGTTCCTCATGGAACCCAAAACTGGAGCAATGCAGGTAAGTTGAATGAGCTTATTATAAAAGTGAAGACACACTATTATCTGCTTTTAACTCACTAAAGTTTGTATATTCATTTTAGGATATCAATGTTGTTCATGCCTTATTGCCAGATCCCAATTTTAAGCCTCCAAATGAAGAGCTAAATCCTGGTTGTATTATTACCGCATCCCAGAGAGATTTTGGTAAGATAAGACCTTTCAAATAACCAGATTTAAATTGTACAGTTTAGAGAACCATATACAGTTGGTACCAGGTTTGCTTTGAAAGATAAGTTAGCCTTTTGTAACGTGTTACAAATATTCAAAGTGCAATGTGTAGCATGTTACTGTACGACCAGCCCTCGCATACCCCGATCCCCTGTTGTGATAGCTAGTGGGGAATCTGCTCCGTCCGCCCGGGAATGTGAAACCACAAGTCCTGATAGCCTTTGTGGCTATTGGCTTGTAGTTCTCAATGAACTACCACAGCTCTGTTAGGTGCAGTGGTAGTTCGTTGATTCTTCCTGTCAGTATAAAACTGCCTGGCCATGTGATGTACAGGCAGATAGATTACACTGACAGTTTGCAGGAGACCTGCATGGCATCAGCGATCTATTGATTGCTTGTGCAATGCTTTTCAGGCTCCTAAAACAAAAAATAGTAAATATACATTTTTTATTTACCTGCAAAAAAATGTGCATTTATTATTTTTTGTTAAAGGGTGAACTTATCCTTTAAGGCATGTTCCCCTCTGAGTGTAGCCTTATTGGTCTGATACTTGCTTCCGTCCCCATTTCTGTCACCTTCATTAAATGGATCTGCCCAGATCCACACAGCCTTTCTTCTTGAAGTGTTACTAAGCCCAGGACCCTGCATTCACTATATCTGGTCTCCCACAGTACACACAACATGGAAATGCAATTATTTTAGTAAATATAAACTGCTAAATACCTTTTCTCATCAGCAGTTAGAGCAGTCTTGTGACTTCTATTAGTGTTCGGCCAAGCACTGGTTAAGGTTTGTAGGAGGAGTTTTCATTCTCCCCTATGAGGCGGAATAACCACTGACCCTCTGTCTGGACAGTGCTGATTGGCCCTGTGCTAATCACATGCACCCTCCCAGTAAAAAGAAAAAAACTCTCTAGCAGTACACCCCAAACTGAGCATGTGCAGAGTGTCCCCCTGTTCTATCAGGAGATGAAATGGGGAATGTGGAAGAAGGCAGGATCAGAGAAGACAGGATCAAACATCCTTTTTACACAATGCAGGGGATTAACCCCTTAAGTTCCACAGTGAGTATTCAAGCATGCTTTACTGCATATACAGACTGATTTTACTGTTGTGGGTTTAGTAACACTTTACATGTCCCACGTGGGTCCTCTTTATTCTGTATCTGAAAGTCATGACCCTATTCATTTCTAAGAAGAGCCATACTCCTACTGAGCTTTAGCAATCATAGGGAATTTCTAATAGGAATGAATGGGGCCAAGGCAAACATACGCAGGATAAAGAGGACCCAGCGAGGGGCTCTTACAGAAGGAAAACCTGTATAGCTTCAGGCAGGACCACACAGTCAAGACCATTGGAACAGCGACAGAGCTGTGCCTTTGGACCAGGATGGATACATTTAGGGGGTGAGGGCATGCCTGGAAGGTACTGTTGTCCTTTAAAAAGACTTTGTCATGTTACTTTATTCAGAGCTTAAATAGGTGGGGATGCTGCAGTGGATAGGCAGTGAATGGACACGTGGCTGTGTAAGTGTACATGCCTCGGAGATGCTGTTCGCCGACACTGTCAATTTGAATTGAATAGGCAGTGTCTCTTTAAAAGAAAGTGTATTATGCTCAAGAGCATGAATTTGTGCTATACTGTGTTCAAATGTAAAACTGTTTGACAGTAAAGTTCATGTACAAGTCCTTGAAAGTTACAGTAGGTGTTAGGGTTAGGTTGTGTTGATGTTCAGTGTCAGGAAGGATGCCGCTCTCTCTGTAGTCCATACCTCTTTTAATACTAGAATGGATTTTGCTCGCTTTTGAAACTGCAGCTTGACATTGCATGCCAAGCCTATGATCCACCAGAACAGAATCCTCTCAACCATTGACACCCCAGCTATGCTTCTCCTAGAATGTATGATGCATTCATGTTTTTAGCCCCCAAGTGTATAACTTCACATTTGTGAACATTAAACCTCATTTGCCACAAAGTTGCACAATTAAACAGTGCACTGAGGTCGGCTTGTAAGTTGGAGACATCCTGTTAAGGATGTTATGCCTCTACATAGCTTGGTGTCATCTGCAAATACAATGCAATGAATTATACACAGCATTGATTTTTTTTACAATAGTTTCCAGCTGTGAACATATTTGTATTTTATGAAGGTGTGTCTGACTCTACTGGAACCTTGTGGCTTCAATTACGACAAAAGTCAAGTCAAAGATCTTCTGTAAAATGGGAGCAAAAAAAGGTGAGCATAACCTGTCCTATACATTATAACAGGCACATTCAGCACTATCAATAATGGAGGGGAGGTGGAATACTCAAATTCAGCTGGTCTGCAACAGAGACGGAGGAGGTCGCTCAACACTGAGCAATTTAGGAAGTGCAGTAAGGGCATTGACAGTCATTAACAGGCACTGACAAACCATAAACATGTCTAATAGCAATACATTGATCTCAATGTTGACATTCTTATGAAAATGGTAGATACTTAAGGTGTCTATAGATGGATAGACGTTTGGCTGGTCCAACAGACATTAGATGAGTTTCGATCCATCTATGGTTGTTCCCACTTGACAAGTCGATCTAACAGTTGACTTCTGTCAAACAGGAATGTTAGAAAATGTACATTTCATCATCAGAGTCCCCGCTTTCAGAATTCAATTGCACAGCAGTGAAGATTCCTCTATCCACCTCATTTGCATGGGGGAAACCATTCATTTTTTTCAATTAGTCATCTGGCTGATCAAAAAAAAAAAACAAAAAACAACTCATCAATTTATGGCCAGCCTTAGCTGTTGTACTGATCCAGATCGAGTATGAAGATCAGAAGTCTATATCTACATAATTGTACTCAAAAGTACTCAAGCAAGAATGTCAGCATGACAGCCAGGCCTTCATGATAGAAACATTGTGGTTGCCACAAAACCTCTACTTCTGAAAATGCTGAAGTTCCCTTTGGCAGCCATGGGCAGCAGGAGGAAAAGTGAAATTATTGTTGATGGGTTGGGCTCAGGGTGAGCGAAAAGATGGCTGAGCTGATGCTTTTAAAATACACAAGACTCCAATCATACTAAGGAACACCCAAGTCGAAACTCCTTACTTTGGAGTCCCGAATCCCTCTGTATAGTAAATTACTTCCAGACACTAGAGGTCAAACAGTTCTGTGCTCTGATTCTGGTTGCTGTCTTGGCAAGTATAAAGAGCATGCATGTAGTCCCACCCTCATCTCTCGCTGTGTTGATTGTCTTCCTGTGTGTGGTCTGTCACTTTCTTCTCTGTTTCGATATCTTGTTTCCATGTTTTAGTACTCCACAGTAGCTCTTTAAATCGTAATTTTACAAAATGAAAGTGCATACATGTGATTTCCAGAAACATACCATTGTTTTGAAGTAATGAAACCACATTTGCTGTTATATATTTTTAAAGTAAAATGCCAGATTATAATAAATTTAGGGCTATTTTAAAGGGTATAAGGCACAGCTACCCATTGTAATGAATTAGAAGATGCAACTGTTTGTGGCTATGTGCTGGTGTACTGCTGTATGTTCAACAGAAGCCCATGTAACAAACATCCCCCCTAGCAGAATACAGTAGCGTGGTGGGGGAGATCCCTGCATCACACATCATCCGTGTTGATGCGAGGATCTGTCAGGTTTTTCTTTTTTTTGCTCTAAAGTGGCCATAGATGTTTTTTGTGGACTGAATGAAAAAAAATTAACAGATTCCTCCATCAACACATGTGAGGTGGATGGAGGAGTCCCCCTCCCCCAACCACTGAGACATTGTATTCTAAGAGCGGGGCTGTTCACTGTCAGAATACACTAATCAGTGGTGCAGTCGCTGATGGACAAACGTTTTCCAATATTCCCATTTGTCATAAATTGATCAATGATCGGCTTCTGTCAAACAGGGACAGCCACACATGGAGCAAAATTTAGCTGGCCCCTGCTGAACCAGACGAACTTTGATCCATCTATGGCCAACTTATGGCTTCAAAACCAGCAAAGCATTCCTTGTTGTGCCTTTTTCCATTATACACTGTTGCTTGCTGCTGGTGTTGTGCATTTACTAACTCTAAAGGCTTCAATGTCAGCACTAGCTAGCAGTGCTCTGCATTATATTATATCATGTATTCACCTCAGATCCCATAGTTCATTGAGTCAGCCCTATACTTCTAAGGAATTCTCTTTTGATTATATTCACTGCACTGCTTAGAATTATGTTTTTTTTTTTCCATGGCCGTGTAGATACATTATAAACGCAAACTATTTTGTATTCTCCTTGCACAGAAGTGATTTTCATTAATACTCTCATCCTTGCCCAGTCTGTTGACATTCAGTCTTTTACCTGTATTTTGTATGATTACTGTTTACAGATCCATTCAGCTTCTATTTCCTGTTTGAACGTTATGAATGATTTGGTGATGACAGCATCCACCGATCGCAGTGTCAAGATCTGGAGATGTAATCCCTTCAGACAAGTATGCATTTTTTTTTTTCGAGCCACCAGTGTGGTGCACAAAAACAAAACACTAACATGAACCAAAAAAAGCTTGTGAGCGAACACACAAAGTGCACTAGGGTGTAGGATCCCTCCCTAACTCCTTGGGGTGCAAAACTTCTGACAGGGGCAAGGCACACTCAGGTCCACCTAGCCAAAAGGCCTGGTGGACACTGCTCCCCATGATCACCCAAAGGCAACCAACAAGTACTGGGTGGGGGGCTCTCCCAAAGTGAGATATCCTCCCAAGGCCGCGAAGAAAGGAACATGATGGCCATGCATCCTTCACCCTAGACTTCAGTGCAGGCCAAAAGACCCGCACCCACAGTCCTTGAGTGAAAAGTGACACACAAAAAACTGAGAGCGACCGTGAGAAAAATAAAGTGAGAAAAATAAATGTGCAAGCCAGTGGCTAGACCTTGCAGCCTGTTAACAAAAAATGTCTTAGTCTGGACCAAATAACCCAGCTTATGAGGCGTAGTGCAGAACAAAGAGCTTGGGTGTCATGGCTTCATGCTGTTTTACACAGCAGGGCCCCAAACCCATAGGGCTTTATTTACCAAAGCTGGAGAGTGCAAAATTAGGCTCACTTCTGCATAGAAGTCAGTCAGCTTTCAGGTTTTATTGCCAAAGCTTAACTGAACAAGCTGAGGTTAGCAGCTGATTGGTTTCTATGCAGAAGTGAGCCTGATTTTGCACTCTCCATCTTTTAGTATTTAAACCTCACAGTGTTACTCAAGCACCTCCAAGAGGACGCTTGGCACAGTGGGCTCTCTGCCTTCCCACGCCCTCAGCCAGACAAGGTAGCACCTTGTCTAAAGTTTAAATCATGAGGCACTGGGTACTTCAGAACCCTGTACACTCTGGAAATACTCCCAGCTACACCTTACCCACTGGACACTTCATTTGGTTTCTATCCCACAACAAACATCTGTCAGGACCCCCCCATCATATCAGCAGGAATACTATACAGCCAGCTATCCCAGCTGGAAGGCCAGAATGATGGTGGAGCACCCCTACTGGACACTGATAGGAACATATACTACACTTAAAGAATATGTAAACCCAACATTTCATATTCCTGATATTTCCCTGCTGAACCATGTACTTGTATGAAAAAGTCTCCTGTTCTCTTTGTGTTGCTTCCTTTGTGCGAAATCCCTGGTGTTCCTGCCTGACCCTCATGAGAGCACACTGGGGTCAGTTCTCTAGCTATGGCTATGCTAGGAAATCAGTCATTCAGTGGGAAGCTTAGTGTACTATTGTTTTTCCTCCCCCAGCTCTTATGCATCTGAAAACCAAAGAGGAAAAAAAAATTGTATGTTTTTGTTTTTGTATCTATACAGAGATGTTTGTTTTTTCATTTCTATTTTAAACTGAGTTGTTTTACAAGGTGAGGATTCACAATCATTTTAATCTTAGCCAAAAGGGTGAGTAAAAGTAAGTATACCCTTGATCACAGAAGCTCTTTAGCAGAAATTACTTTTTGTAGGAGTTTTGTATAATTATCAACTCACATTTTTGACCACTGTCTAGGCAAAATGTCTTCAGGTGCAAGATGTTTGTGGGTTCCTTTCATCTTGCATGAACTGCCAATTTCAAATCTCACCACAGCCCTAAAATGTGTTTAAAATCAAGACTTTTTGTATAGCCCAGTGTGTAATTCTCTTTCTTCTTTTGAGCCTTTACTTGGTGGATTTGCTAGTGTGCTTTGGATCTACAGTAAGTCATCTTGAAAGATCCATGTCTGGATCAACTTCAACTTTAGGACAGATGGCCTTTCATCGAGCACACTTTGATATGATGCAGAATGCATAGCTGAATTGATAACTGCAAGCTGCCCAGGCCCTAAAGCACCCCTGAACAAAAACATTTACAGAACCATGTTCACAGTTGGTATAATGTTATTCTGAAATGCTATCTTCAGTTTTCGACCAAACAACTCTATTTTTGATTCATAGATTCACAGCACATTGTTCCAGAAGTTCTGATCTATACCTATTTGTTTATTGCAAAAAAATTGTAGAATTGCTCTAGTGTTCTTTTTGTATAGCAAAGGCTTCTTTGTGACACACCTCTCATACAGGAAAATATATGTGATGCTTCACCTTGTAAAACAGCACATTCAGTTTAAAATAGAAATGAAAGGCAAAGTGTGTGTGTGTACTGCTCAAACACTTTCTAATCAGAGTATAGCATCAAGTCAATTAAACTCCTGGGATATTGATCTGGTCAGTTAAGTAGTAGAGGGGGTTGTTAATCAGTTTCAGCTGCTTTGGTGTTAATGAAATTAACAACAGGTGCACTAGATGGGCAACAATGAGACGACCCCCAAAATAGGAATGGTTTTACAGGTGGAGGCCACTGACATTTTTCCCTACTCATCTTTTCTGACTGTTTTTCACTAGTTTTGCATTTGGCTAGGGTCAGTGTCACTACTGGTAGCATGGGGCAATACCTGGACCCTACAGAGGTTGCAGAGGCAGTCCAACTCCTCCAGGATGGCACATCAATACGTGCCATTGCCAGAAGGTTTGCTGTGTCTCCCAGTACAGTTTCAACAGCATGAAGAAGATTCCAGTAGACAGGCAGTTTCTCTAGGAGAGCTGGACAGGGCCGTAGAAGGTCCTTAACCCATCAACAGGACTGGTATCTGCTCCTTTGTGCAACGATGAGCACTGCCAAAGCCCTAAAAAATGACCTGTAGCAGGCCACTGGTGTGAATGTCTCTGACCAAACCATCAAAAACGGACTTCATGAGGGTGGCTTGAGGGCCCGACGTCCTCTAGTGGGCTCTGTACTCACTGCCCGGCACCATAGAGCTCGATTGGCATTTGCCATTAAACACAGAATTGGCAGGTCTGTCACTGGCGCCCTGTGCTTTTCACAGATGACAGCAGGTTCACTCTGAGCACATGTAACAAACATGAAAGGGTCTGGAGAAGCCGTGGAGAACGTTATGATGCCTGTAACATCATTCAGCATGACCGTTTTGATGGTGGGTCAGTGATGGTCTGGGCAGGCATATCCATGGAGGGACGCACAGACCTCTGCAGGCTAGACAATGGCACCCTGACTGTTATTAGGTATCAGTATGAAATCCTTGGACCCATTGTCAGACCCTACGCTGGTGCAGTGGGTACTGGGTTCCTCCTGGTGCATGACAATGCCTGGCCTCATGTGCTGAGAGTATGCAGTTCCTGGAGGATGAAGGAATTGATACCATTGAATGGCCCCACACTCGCACCTGACCTAAACCCAATAGAACACCTCTGGGATGTCATGTTCCGGTGCATCTGACGCCGCCAGGTTGCACCTCAGACTGTCCAGTAGCTCAGTGATGCCCGGGTCCAGATTTGGGAGGAAATACCCCAGGACACCATCCATCGTCTCATTAGGAGAATGCCCCGACATTGTCAGGCATGCATAAAAGCATGTGGGGGCCATACAGATTACTGAGTACAATTTTGAGTTGCTGCAATGAAATTTCAGCAAAATGGACTAGCCTGCTGCATCATTTTTTTTCACTTTGATTTTCGGGGTGTCTTTGAATTCAGTCCTCTGTAGGTTGATAATTTAATTTCCATCAAACGATGAGGCATCCTTATATTCCTAACACATTACTTAGTCCATATCAGTATAGATATCCAGCATGAGATTTTTCACCATTGAGATCTGATGTGTTTTTAAAGTGTTCCTTATATAATTATAATTTTATATACAGTCAGGTCCATAAATATTGGGACATCAACACAATTCTAACATTTTTGGCTCTATACACCACCACAATGGATTTGAAATTAAACAAACAAGATGTGCTTCAACTGCAGACTGTCAGCTTTAATTTGAGAGTATTTACATCCAAATCAGGTGAACGGTGTAGGAATTACAACAGTGGCATGTTCTTTCAATCGCTTGCCAGACTTATAGGTATCCACATCCTCTTTTGTGAAGATCTTAGAAAGCTCCTTTGCTACTGAAGTCTGTAGCATCATCATTACAAAATCAAAGAGAATACCAAACCCTAGATACAGTATGTTAGGTTTACCTGCGTACTTCCTAAGGAAGTTCTAATCATTGGCACCTAATCTGAAACACCTGGTTTTAATTTCATGAAAGTGGTGGTAAATGGTAAAGGTGTACTTACTTTTCCACATGACAAATCTGTGTTTTACTTATTTAGATTACAAAAATAAATGTGTTATTTTTTATTTGTTCAAATATATCACCTTTATTTTTAGGCACTATTTGAATAAAAATCAAATGTTTGCCTGTACACTTATGTTGAAAAAGTCAACAATTTCTATGGGATATCCTCACTTTTACTGAATCCTGCTAGCAGCTTGCTTGAAGTGACAATCAGCACTCTCATTAAGATTTATGTTCATTTACAAACTGGAGCTGAATGGTACTTTAAAGGGTATCTTTCTATCCATTATGATAGGATAATGTTGACACCTTCTGGTGACTGGACACTGGCAAACAAAAACATAATCTCTACCAGCTAGGCATAGCTATAGTTTTGTAGCAAGCCATGAAACAATGGAAGAGGGATGGGATCCCTGCGTCCAGTGATATACTCCAAGAAAAGGATTTTAAAAGATATACCAAAATCCCAGTCAAGGACACAGGGGGGTGATTTACTAAAACTGGAGCACACAGAATCTAGTGCAGCTGTGCATAGTAACCAACTTCACCTTGTTCAATTGCGCTTTGACAATAAAACCTAGAAGGTGATTGGTTACTATGCAAAGGTGCACTATTCTGTGCTCCAGTTTTAGTAAGCCTCCGACAGGGTATCTTCATATCCATTACAATGGGCATGTCCTAAAGCATTAAATATAACAGGAAGGCAACATGGCAGAACAGGTTAGAATTTTGCACAGCTTGCATTACCCGCTGACCAACGGTTGTGTCTGCAGAGGCTCAAATGTCCACCTGGTAAAACCTTGTAAAAGCATGAATCAAAGACCGGTCTTGTAAACTTGAACTGCTAAAACTTGATGCTGAATAGCCCAGGAAGCACCAATACTCCCGGTAGAATGACCCAACACCAAGAATGATAGAACTTTGCCTTTCCGACTGTAAGCTTGAAAAATAGGCTGACAGATTGAATGTGAAATGGTAGATTTGAAACTCCTGCAGTGACCCTTCTGTGCCCCTTTAACCACATGCCGCCCAGCCACTGTAGTAACACGTTGGCAGGGCGGCACGGCTGGGCAAAACGTTTTAAAATGTGTGTTTGCAAAACAGGTAGGGGGCGTGCGCAAGGCGCGCCACCACCCTACCTGTCCCGCCGATCACGCCCGCGGATGTCAGTCGCCGGGTCACAGCCGGTCGTTACCAGCAGTGTCCCGCCGATTAGCGCCAATCACTGACAGAGAGCAGGGCTGCAGTAGCTCTGCTCTCTGTCAGTTCCCTGTCAGCTCCTGACATGCTGAGCAGGAGAGAAGAGTTTATCTCTCCCGATCAGCTGTCCCCACACACCCCTGCCCCCTAGTAAAACACTCTTCCTCACACAGTTAACCCTTTCAGTAAATAAAAAAGTTAACCCCTTCCTCCCCAGTGCCATTAGTACAGTGTCAGTGGTTTTTTTTTTTTCCCTGATCACTGTATTGGTGTCACTGGGGATGTCAGTGACCCCAAGTCAGTTCCTCCCCAGTGTCAGAATGTCCGCCGCAGTCCCGCCATAAGTTGCTGATCGCCGCCATATGTCACTGATCGCCGCCATTATTAGTATAAAAAAAAATTAAAAATCCCAGTATCTTTACCGCCATTTGTAAACACTATAACTTTCACGTAAACCAATTAATTTACACATATTGGGTTTTTTTTTTTTAGCAAAGACATGTCGCAGAATGCATTTTGGCCAAAATTTATGACGAAATTTGATTTTTAAATTTTTTTTACTGTACATGTTTTATAGCAAAAAGCCCAAAAATATTTTTTTTTTTTCTCAAAATTGTGAGCCTTTTTTTTTTTTTTATAGCGCAAAAAATAAAAACGCACAGGCGATCAAATATTTGTGTGAAAAAAAGGACATAAATTTAATTTATGTACCGTATTGCATGACCGCACAATTGTCCGTTAAACTAGCACAGCGCTGTATAGCAAAAAAATGGCGTAAATTGCAGTATCTATACCATAGTTTGTAGATGCTATAACTTTCACACAAATCTCGATACGGTAATCTCCATTTCCCAGATGAAAATCTTGAGAAAACTAGCTATAAAGAGCAATTTGTACAGATTGCACAGACAGGGCCAACACCTATGACGCTGGCAAAAAACTGAAACTATGCCTAGCTTGGAGGGATTATGCCTGGGCGGTGATATTTTGTCTTTTTTTTTTATAGTGTCCAGTCACTGAAAGTGGCAGCATAACCCTATCGTAGTAGATATGAATATTAAGGATTGTTCATGCAAACCTCACATACCTGTGAGAATTATCAGATTATATTGAATTTCCAAGCCAGTTACAATTTGTTGGTTGTTAGAAACATTTATGTGCTGCTGATAATGTATAAAGGTTTTATCAAGGTACATTGAGTACACTGCTGTCACTTTGGATGAAACACCATCTTATCTATAGCTAACATCACTTACAAACTGCTTCCATAAATTCAGTGCTTCTTTTATCTTTGCAGGTGGGAATATTCAATTGTGAAGGATCGGTCACCTGTCTATCCCCTTGTCCTCTGGCTCAACATGATACTCCATCAGTGGCATGTCGCATTGCCTGTGGGGATCAGTATGGAAATGTGTACATACTGACTTCTCTGCAAATTTAGAAACTTAGAACACCTAGATAATGGTTTTTCACATGTATGATTGAAAAATGTTTAGAATATTAAAAGTCTTCAAGGACTGTTAGTCATGTTTAAATATCGCAAATACTGACCAGCCACGCTATGCTGAACTTTTGGCCAGTAGCAAAAATGTTAATAAAGACTTATCTGCCAAAGAATTTGTATTTCTATTTATCAAGTCCTGTGATCCAGGCACCACTTCTGGACAACAAAGCTAGTTCCTGTGCCCCCAGTACTGCCTTGTCTGAAGCTGGTTCTAGCATGCAACTGTAGAATGAAATAACAGCAGCACACCGATTAGGGAATCCCTCTGCTCTATCCTCGGCAAGAAGCTTCAATGGTTAGATAGATAACATTGTGCAATGCTTAAAAGCTTGCTTGGTCTATGGTGCTGCCCTTCTCACCCCTAGTCTGAATGCTGCTGCTCATGATATCAAGGGAGTATGGAATGTTTACCTGCCATTTAGTGATATTTAATGAATCCATTATTAAATGTTGTTTGCTTGGAGTTCAACTTTAGATTAATGAAAATAGAGTGGGTGTAGATGGTGAGCAGGGGCGGACTGACCATTTGGAAACTCGGGGACTGCCCGAGGGCCTGTGGTCAGTAGGGGGCCCCATGAGATGCCCCTGGTACCTTTTTCATAGGCTTTTTTGAGTTTGTGCAAGGACACAGGGGCCCCATGATCCCCTATTGCCTGGGCGCCCAATGAGTTGTCAGTCCACCCCTGATGGTGAGTACCTGCTGTGATCCAATAGCACTGAAGAAATGTGGTAGAAATGGAAAATATATGCCCTTCTTTCTTTCCATTATGGGACACAGGAATTCACCTTTGGGTTGTCTTGCCCCCCTACAGAAGGATTGAACACTGGCAAACAAAGAAAGTTGGCCAGCCCAGGATTACCCCTCATACTATCAGCATGCCTCAGTTTTAGGCTAGTGTTCTAGGAGCATAAACGTTCATGTCATAGAAGAACTAGGAAAAGTCTCCTTGCTGCTGCTCCTGGTTGCAAAGAGCCATGTGGAACTTTGATCTTCAACTCTTTCCTGCTGACTTCCAACAGTGACTCTGGTCACCTCCAGCCATCTGGCACTCACCTGCTACCAGCTTTCTGGATTTATCGAGTACCTGAAATTTTTCCTCTTACCCTGACCTTATATGATCACATGTCTAGTTGTTGTCTGTCTGGTCACTGCAAAATTTGTTTGCACTATTGGGCATTGTTGCTTCCTCTGCCCTTTTTGCTCAGTTTTTTTTTTTATTTTTTACCACAGTTATGCAAGACTTTACAGGTCAAATCACCTGGTTATTTGTTGACTCTGAATTCAGAGGCCACAAATGCACACTCCTGCACCCTCAGCTGCAGATTCTTTATCTTGGTTGCCCACAGCTTTAGAGGCTACTGATCCCTCAGCTTCAGACTTGGACTGAGTCTTTTCAGTCCTTGACTGAGGAGCTGATCCCTGAGAAGTCGCAATCTACTGCTATTACTCCTAAATTAAAGGAGACCATTTCAGCTTTTATTGATACAATGCAAACCACTTTAAAACTGGAAGATCACCACTCTAAAATTTTAAGATCAGCCTGTTAATTCTACCAGTGCTACAGTATCTCCAGTCTTGGGTCCTTTAACATTCCCACGAGTGTAATGTGTTTTTTTTTTTTTTTTGCACTTGCAGAGATGACTGGTTAGCAGGGAAGCTCCATCAATAATCCCTTGCTAGGGCCTCCTGCAAGCAGACACAAAGGTCATGTGGGGCGGGAGGACATATCATTTAATGCACTGGAGCCACCCTCCAAGTTATGAAAGAGTCACTTGAGGAGTTCTACAGCAAAAAAGAGGAATGTGAACAGCTTCCCTCATTAAACTTGTGGATCATGTGCACTGAAACTGGCAACATAGCATACATTGGACTGGGGGCTATTCCATTGCCACTAACAATAAGGAAGTCAGCATAAATGGCAGATTCAACCCATTACATTGGGTATAGAAAGTAATCACATTTTGTTGCTTTGCAGCCTGAAATGAGGACAGATACAGTTTTTTTTTATCCAGCTGTATTTACGCAGTGTTATATTTTTCACTTGGCTGTTAGATGTTGCACTAACATGTCAGAGAAAAAAAAAATCAAAAACAGAATCACTGAGTTGGAAAAAGATCACCCCCTTGTGTCAGTATTTTCTTGAACCAACTTTTTTATTTAATTCCAGCCTGTAGTCTGTTGAGATATGTCTCTACTAACTTTGCACATCTAGACTTTGCAGTATTTGCCCACTCTTCTTTGCAGAAATACTCAAGTTTCAGTTAAATTTGATAGTGACGATTTGTGGACTGCAGTCTTCAAGTCATTCCACAGATTTTCAATGGGGTCTGGAGTCTGGGCTCTGACTAGGACATGCAAGGACATTCACCTTTTTCTCCTTCAACTACTGTGTGGTCAGTTTTGCTGTGTGCTTTGGGCCATTGTCATGTTGAAAGGTAATCCTTCTTCCCATTGCCAACTTTCTGACAGAGGGCAGATTTTCCTAAGAAATTGGACGGTATTTTGGCCCAATTTTTTCTCTATCCTGACTAGTGCTCAAGTCCCTGGACATCCCCATAACAGGATATTACCACCTCCATGCTTTACTGTAGGAATGGTGTTATTTGGATGGTGAGCTGTATTGGATTTCTGAAGGAAACGTTGTTTTTCAGTGTTGAGGCCAAATAATTACATTTTGCCCCATCTGACCATAACATGTTCTTCCCTGCGGCCTCAGAATCTTCAAGATGCGTTTTAGCAAAGCTCAGTCGTGACAGCATGTGGACTCTTGTGGAGTGGCTTTTTTCTTGCAACCCTCCCATCCAAGCCACCCATCCCAATTCATTTGTGGAGAATGTGTGATATTATTCTCGCATGCACACAATGACCACTCTTTGTCCTAAATTCCTGCAACTGCTTTAGAGTAGCTGTAGGCCTCTTGTTAGCCTCTCTGACAAGTTTCCTCCCATCTCTTTCTTTCAGTTTGGAGCGATGTCCTGAGGCAGGGAGGGTCTGTGTTGTACCAAATACCTTTCACTTCTTCATAATAGACTTCACTGTCCTTCTAGGCATTGATAAAGCCTTTGACTTTTTTTTTTTTTATCCATCTCCTGACTTATGCCTGTCTACAACTTTATCCAGGAGATTTTTTGACAGTGCCTTGCCATCCATAGTTGATTGCTTCAGTTGTGCTACCAGGGACTGAAATGCTCCAGGAGAGCTTTTTACATGCTGAGCTAATCAAAATGGACAACAGCTGATCACAGTTGAAAGTCAAATGGCTTTGTTTGCCATTGAGAAGGTGATTAGTTACACCTAATTGAGTTTACAAATCATTCTTAGGAGGGAGGTGATCCATTTTCCAACTCAGTGATTCTGTTTTTGAATAAAAAAAAAAAGGAAATACAGCTGGATAAAACAAAAACAGTGTCTGTCTTCATTTCAGGGTGAAAAGCAGCAAAATGTGAATATTTTAAAGGGGAGGTGATTCTCTTCTGTATTTACTAATCGGGACACTCTGGATGACAGCTTCTATAAGTGTGTTCAGAACTGACTTTTAAAGAGAAACCCATATACACAAAAAATTACTTTAATTACACTTTAACAAGGTGCTTACTATTCCTGCAGAAAACATGCAAAACTTTAAGCACCTAACCCATAAGCAGTTGGATGCTGTTCTCTCTGGTGGGTCCTGTTCCCCGCTGTGATTTTTGATTTGTTAAACCATCTGAACATATCTAACAATTGCTACAGTTGATCATTTGCTTGTTGAATGCATAAATCAGATGGTTATGCTTTAAATTTCAGTTGTGATGATCTGCTGGAAGCATCAGTTCTCATGGCAGTACATATGCATAAGGCACTTTGGTTGAGGTGCTGGACTGTGGCACCTCTGAGTAATAAGCTGTGGTCCACATTGCCCACAATGGACAATATCTCTCCAGCTAGTGACACTATTATCAAGGATGCTGTTGGGGGCAGGAGCACCCATTTTTCTCAGCTGAAGAAGCCCAAAGAACAGACTACTTCTTCACCCTCTCTAAAGGTGAAGAAACATCCCTTTAGGTTTTCCACTCCTTCAATCTCCTCGTTGAGGCTCACCAGGCTTGGCTCCTAGGCCATCCACAAAGTCTGCCAAAACCTCAGACAAGCTTTCCTCTACATGATGGAAGGACCTTGTGGAATGGGGGTGATAACCTTTTCAGACACTTGGACAACTTGAATCTCCAATATGAAATACACCAAATCTGTTAACACCTCCTTTCACTAGAGAGACTTTCCAGCTTTTGTGGATAGCAAGGTCACATACCTGCCTGCCCTCATCTCTTTAGCACACCAGTGTTTCCTATGGAGCCCCTGCATTATCTGTTTGTGGCCCTGCCTTTCAGGGTCTCGTCAGCTGTTCACCAAGGTATTAGCCCTGGTGCACTTTTGTGACATCTTCATTGCAGAATACACTTGGAAAACCTTCTTTTGAGGGAACAGTCAGCTCTGTCAGACAAGATGGCTTTGACTGTCCAGGGGTTACCATGGGTCAGGTAGACCTCCAAAAATTATCACTGGAACAAACACTTGGTTTAGAGGACTTAAGTCTAGTCCTGGACACCGCTCAAGCCACTTCCAGTGCCTTGAAAAAGTATTTATACCCCTTGAGCTTTTCTACATTTTGTCATGTTACAACCAAAAATGTAAATGTCAAGTGCCACATAATTGTGAAGTGGAAGGAAAATAAATGGTTTTCAAATTTTTTTACAAATAAATATCTGAGAAGTGTGGCATGCATTTTTTATTCAGCCCCCTTTACTCTGATACCCCTAACTAAAATCTAGTGGAACCAATTGCCTTCAGAAGACACCTAATTAGTAAATAGAGTCCACCTGTGTGTAATTTAATCTCAGTATAAATACAGCTGTTCTGTGAAGCTCTCAGAGGTTTGTTAGAGAACATTAGTGAACAA